CATGCACCGATCCATGACTTCCTCTATCAGTACAGGGCCAAACATTAGACAACTAGGGACAGCAATTATGCCCTAAACCCACTGAGATTATTCAGATTAGCCTAAGGAGTTGACCCTGCTGTCCCTTGCCTTTTGCATGAAAACCCCAATCGAGGCTGCTTCCTGACCAACCCCAGTGCTTCACCATGGATCCCTATGTGGCATGCAACCCTCTTGCTTCTAGAGGAACTATAGGTAGCAATAAGCATTTCTTTCAAGGGCGTTGGCCTGTGTTGTCACTCAGTCACTTTTTACAAAGGAAGACCTGGAACAAATCAAATTGTTAAGAGCTATGGGGAGTATAAACACAGAGAATAGACACAGAGGAAAATGGGGTCAGGGATGTCAAGAGAGGAGAATGCTTCAGAAAAGTCAGCCACTGAACTTTGGTGTGATCAAGTCTGGCCAACAAATTCTTCTTTAATCTTTTTTTTTTTTTTTCATCAACAGCACTGTGCAGTTTTATTAACCATTCAAGTATAGAAGTATCTGGTAAGATTGGGACAGAATTGGGATTGAAAAGTGAACAGATATTCAGCATCTAACAATTTGAAAGAAGCCACTACATACTCTTCACAAACATGTTTTCACAGAGCCAATACAGACCTAGCCATTAACCCAGTACACCAAGTGCACTGAAGTAGAAAAAATGCAACAATAAAAATAGCTACATTAAAAAGACCAACACTTTAGAAAAAGATTAAAACACTTTCAGTTTCTCCCCTTTATCCCCTAAAACAACATCTTACAGTCTGGATCTACCTCTACAGTCCTACATTAGCTTCTAGAATATTTGTCAAGAGGGAAAAAATAAAATGACACTGGCCAGTACAGCCTTTGGATATTTAGGAAGGGGAAGGGGAGAAAGTCAGTTCTCAGAACAAATTAGTCAGCTTCAGTTTCATCAGCAGGGTCTTTGGATTCTTTGTTCTTCCGCACTTCTTCAATGTGCTTATCCTTCTCTCGAAAACGCTCCAGTTTGGCAGCCATTTGTGCCTCTCGGTTCTCTTTGTTAGCTTCCATTTTGTGGGTCAGTTTCTCTTCTGCCATTTTACTGAAGTGGTTGTTTTCTTCTATTGCTTTCTGAAGCACTTCTTTCTCATGCTCTCGTTTCTCAGCAAGCTGCTTCAAGACCTCATCTTCATGAGACTTGCGTCTTTCTTGTGCAGCTTCTAATTTCTTCTCAATTTCCTCCAGGGAAATATCCTTCTTCTTTGGGAGGAGAAAGGGGGAAATCTGGGACCGATTCTTTTGACTGAGGGCTGAGAATCAGCTCAAAAGCCTGGCCTGAGGCACGCTTCTCCAGTTCTTTCACCTGAATATCAGAAGAAGCCATGGTGAATAGAAGACAAGAGACTGGCAGTGTGTTCTACACAATCCACTGGTAAGGAAAGCCCTGCTCTGTCCAAGCCGCCTGGCCACACTTTCTTTAATCTTTTTAAAAATGATTCCATTATTGTGGTTCTGTTTTGTTCCTGAGCCACGTGCTTTTGTTTCTGCCTCATTCAATTAGTGAGAGAATAAGAATGAAGGGTGGATGAAAGCCTCATGCTATGTTTTAAAAAGCCGTTTTCCCATGCTCCTGCAGACCTTGATATCATCAGGTTTCAGCACATTAGAGTCAGGGCTTTCCCTGTTGCCCTGCTTGTGACCGCTTTCCATGCCAGGATCTGCTGAGCAGGGCCATGACCCACTCACTGGTGGGTCATGGAGTGACCAAAGTCCTGCTGAGAACTCATTGCCTACGTATCAGTGAACTGGCAGACACGGGGGAAGAGGGTCTGCCATGCTCATGCTGTGCCAGGGCAGGTCAGCAGGTGTGCTCCTTATCAGGTCCTGTACATAACTGCACACCCCAGTAAACTTACAGAGTTACACAATTTCCTGTAAAAAAGAAAGCAGAACGGTGGTCAGCCTGGCCACGGATAGAATGACCTGCTGTTTTAAACTTAAGTCTCTGACGGTCAGAGTGAATGACAGCCCGGAGTGGAGGCTCACTTCTTAGAAATTCCTCTGGCACAGAGCAGAGGTCAGGAGCCAATTCTCATGGACCCACAAGAACAACCAGGGGTAGAAGCAGGAGTGGGGGAGGTGAGGAGGGGGCTCCATCCTGCCAGACAGGAATCAACAGAAGCCAAATGCAGTCTCAGAAAATCTCAGTGGCTAAGTACAGATAAGACTCACACACTCCAGAATTCTTTAAGGAAACAGCAACAAAAAAGGAACTAGGAAACGATTAAAACTTGTGCTATGTAACTCTACTTGGATGATCAAACAGCTAACTTGTTTATAACAACCTACACAGTCTACCGGGATCCTGGGGTTTCTAAAAAACTTTGGCAGCCCAGTCAGGAGGACATGCTGCTTGGCAGCCAACATGTCATTGTCCTTGCCGAGTTTCTGCTAGTGTCCCCAATCCTGCTTTCCTTGACTTACCCAAGTCAATATCATTGCCATGTAGCTCTGAGTGCAGAAAATTCTCAAGGGCAACATTATCTAAAGTCCATTATCCAAAGTACCAACTCCAGAGTTACAGTTATGGAGATGGTGACGTTCAAAGACTCTGCCAACCACTGGTCCCTTAAAACGCTTCTCCTTATTTCAACATCCGTAGGTCTAGAGAACTTGCCCACTTCCTGCCACATAGCAGCCACATGCCTTTGATGGGAAGATAATCACCACAAAACAGAACGGAAATATGGACCTCGTGACCTTCTTCCATTGAGCCATAGAAAGCTCACGGGGACCAGCCCGGGGGTCACTGTTTAGCCATTTCACATCACCTCCACTACGAGCCCTACCATGAGTGCACTTTGCAGGGCCCTCAGCAACCATTCAAGGTGGTTTGTCGGATGGTTGGTTGGTAGAATTTGCTGGAAGAGGGACTGCAGAGTTGGCTGCCCTACTCTGACTGCCATCATTCCACCCCTAGCACTGGTGCTGAGTTTGAGCACAGAGTAGAGATTGAAAAGGAAATGACCAGGACATCTGCTGGCTCACACAGTGGCTTAGTGCCAGATAGAAATATGCCCCTTCTCTAGAAAATGAAATGCTAAAGGATGCCCATTCATGTGGCCATCTGGGGCAAAGAGCCCTCTAGGTCCTGTTTTATAAAAGGAGCAGCCCGTGCAAGGCACAGGGCTTGGCCCGTGGAATCTGGGCAGGATCTCAGCCCCACTCCAGTTCTCTGGGTGGACTGGAGGGCACAGGGATCAAAGCAGCTCTGGAAGGAGTCTTGGGGCATCCTGAGCGCTGCGACACTGCTCTCTGTATCAGGCCATTTAATTGAGATGATTACCAGCCAGGGCTGAGATGTAGCTCCATGGTAGAGCACTTGCCCAGCATGTGAAAGGCCTGGGTTCTGTTCCCAGACACACACACACACACACACACACGCATGCACACAACTGTTACCAGCTGGTGGAAAGAATTCCTCTATCATGTGTTTTATCATGGTTCATTTAAATTAATCTCTACAACAACCCTCTGAGGCAGATATTTAACAGGAAATTGGACCCCAGGTTAAGAATCTTGCCTGAGGTTGCTTGATAGCATCAGATTTTGATCTTCATCCTGCTGTTTTCCCAGCACTCATTATTATTCGCTTTTCCTGATTTATTTTTCGGCATAGCACTTACCACCAATGTTGTGTATTTCATTTCTCATTTGTATATTGGCAGTTTTTCCTGAGGGGGAAGTAAGCTTTGCAAGGGGAGTGTTTTATTCGCTGCTGTATCCTCTGTGCTTAGATAGGAGCCAGGCACACAGTAGGGCTCATTCATTAGCATTGGACGGATCGTTCAAATGCCAGCTATTTCCTACCACGCCAGCTTATTTCAATCAACAGTCTTTGGTAAATACTCAGTAATGCTTTAAGGTGTCCTAGAGGAAAAAAAAAATAGACTAACAAGTGATATCCACTGCTATCAAGATTTTCTTCAATCTAAAAAAACCACATTTATACATTTAGATACATGTTTCATGAGTGAAAACAAGGTTCCAAGAAAGGTCTTCCAGCCTAAAATTCATGTCCACTTGAAGGAGAGAAATCGAAGGCTAATAAGCTAGGTTATGACTACCTACTAAGATGATTCTTTGACTTTGAAGGCAGGTTTATTTATGGCAGATTTCTTTGTTTTTTTGGTTTTGGGGGGTTTTTTTGACAGGGTCTCACTAGATTTCCAGGCTGTTCTTAAACTCCTGGGCTCAAGTAATCCTCCCGCCTCAGTCTCCACCCAAAAAGCTGAGACTTTAGGCATGTAACATGGTACCTGTCTTATAGCTTCTTTCTTTGATTCAAACAAAATTATCCATCCCTGCTTTGCTCTGCTAATAATTTTCATATAGCATTACAGAATAACCAGGCACATTTTCTATGCAGAAGTGTCCAGAGCTTACAGAGATTGCAAATTCTACAAAATGAATTTCTTCTTGCTGGCTACTAAAATGGGGCATATTAAACACCATTTTCATATCCTTAAAGTTACAACAAAGTTTTTATGGGAGTTAGCAGCCTGGAGTTTCAGAAATAATTAAGTGCTGCATGTTTTGACTCTTTTACATAATCTTTCTCCTGGTTTATTAAGAGCTCGCCGTATGCAGGGCACTGTACCCTGAAATATTGTTGGAGGAACAAAGAGAGCATTTAGAGATGTTCTCTGGCCTCCTGGAATTTACAGGATGAATGGAAGAAGACATAGAGTTATGCATACTCCCGACAATAACCATTGACTTTTTATTTGTAGACAGAGAAGCTTGGCGACTGAGACCTTTTTTTTCCCCACGCTGGATTTACGAGAACCGAACTGAATTGAAAAATGTTATTTGCTTTAACAAAACAATTTACTCTTGTGCAACATTAAATTGTGTCAATCAAGCAAACAAAGGAAGAAAGCCTTATTTATAAAATAGCCTGCTTCTGATTCACTTGATTGCTTCTCAGGTTCCAACAGGGCGACAAAATGAAGCTTTTGGTACTTGGTGTTTTTCTGTTTTTCTGTAGTTCCCCAGCCTGGACAAAAGATAAGCACTATTACCTTGGAATTATTGAAACAACTTGGAACTATAACTCCGACCGTGGGGAAAAGAAACTTGTTTCAGTTGACACGTAAGTCACTGTTTTTATTGCTTATGGGCCAAATTTGTAACTTAGCAATTTTTAAAAATAAGCCATTAAGAGGTAATATTTCTTTAATGTGTCCACTGCAAAATGTGGACTTGAAACTGGAGACATTTTAATCAGTCTCCTCTCCATCTCTGGCTGTTTTACATCAGGAGAACTGCCCTGCTGCCTCTCCAGGTCCTGGTGAACTTGTCAGCCTCCTATTTATTGACTCCTCTGGTTTATACACCTCCATCAGCATTTTATCTTTTTGTCTGTTGATACAAAAATTCTTTAAATAATGTCTGCATAAAATACTATGTTCATGGGGGAGGCAGGAGAGGAGAGAAAGGGGAGTACTGGGGATGGAAATTGACCACATTATGATGTTATATTGTGTGCATGCACAGATAACTAACAACCAATAAAATGCAACAATTGAAGAAAAAGAATAAAAACCCTTTAACAAAAAAAAAAAGAAACTCTAAATGGAAAAAAAAAATTTATAACACCATTTACTGGTTATCAATAGTAAAGATGCCACATTTTTTAATCCTTCAGAACATCATTTACAGAAATAAAATATAGTTTTAACAAAATGATTCTACCTAATACTGGTCGGGTAATTCTGCACAGTGAATGAATGGGGGTAATCGGAGTCCATATTTGCAAAAAGGGATAAAAACATATTTCCCAGGACACATGTCCAGCTCTTGGTGGAGAGCTCAGCATGGTGTACACATACAAAAACATATATGATACTCAATGTTTTCCTGTCTCATTCGAAAGCCCCTTTATTTTAAACAATATTCACTATACAGAAAATAAGAAAGTAAAGTTCTCCTTGAAGTGTTTTATATGGAAGTTTCTCTCTATTGAGTTCATCTATTTTAATAATGTTAATTAAACATTTACCACCAAATGGAAATTTGTCATTTAAAACCAATATTCACTACATTAACAAATGTATTTTAATGGTGATAAAATACAATGAGTCCAATAACCAGCAGCTGCTAAGATTGTACCTTTACAAAATAGCTAAATAATTATGCCAAATTTTGTTAACTTGACTCTTAAGGATGGGTATATTCTATTCTGATTAATTGCATATATGGTTGAAATTGTTCACAGTAAAAAATAAATGCAAAACTAAGAATAACATCCAATTGCTACTTTATTAATTTAGTACTATGTGATTAGGATCACAGTAATAAAGACAACTAGTACATCTTACAATTATTAGTTTTTTAAAAAAAAATGTTTTGAGATAGTATTCTTTTCTTAGGAGTATATTTTTACAGCTTAACTAGAAACATTACTTTGTATGGATTCAGGTTTTTCCTGAATAAAAGAATTAAATTACATGTGGTTTTTATTTCCAAGGAAAAGAGGTATCACTCAGTGGTGGAGCACTGGCCTGGTGTGGGCAAAGCCCTGGGTCTGATCCCTAGTACCTAAATAAATAAAGACATAAATTAAAATTTTTTTTCAAAAATAGAAGTACTGTCCTACTCCATGGTTTACTCACCCCCACCATGGTTCATGAACAAAAATCAGATCAGTTCATCAGGCATAAACTAAGGGCAAGGTTAGGCTCTGGCCATGCTCCAATAAAGAAATCTTTAATTCCAAAATTGGGAAACAGGAGAGTGAAGGAAGTTTGTAAGGATTTGGGTGGGTGGGGGGTGGTTCTTTTGTTTTTAAATACTCTCATGGCCTGTCTGTTCCTGGGAGGCTATAAAATGCATAAGTCTTGTTTATCCTGTTGTTCTTTGATAGGCACACTTAAGGATGCTTAAAAAGGAAAGTGATCCATCTTCCAGATAAGTTCAATCCTCTTTTTATGAATGTTCCATAACCTCCTGTGGCTTCAACAACAGCCTAGGGTTGTGTGAACTCTTGAAGAGACTGGCCACACCATCTGATTTTGTTTCTTTCATACATCTGAACAGCGATCAGCGCATCAGCACTTTGCCAGTTGCATGTTAAACGTCTTGTGTAGATGAGTGTAGCAGTGACCTCATGCTGCCTTTGTTGTCCCATAGTCGCAGCAAGTCCAGCCCAGTCAGTGAAAGATGAGCTGGTATCACCAGACAAAAGTGGCTTTCCTTCTCATGTGATGGCCAAAAAGAAGGGGAAATAAACAGGGGAAGTAGAAGGGGAGAGAACGCAAGACGTGCATTGGGTTGAGATCTGGATTTCAGTGTGATGTTGACCTTGAATGTACGTGGAGACAGCAGGAACTCCCTCTGCTATGGTGATGGGTACCTAAAACATTGGAGTCACTGAATAAATTATTTGTGAATCTATTACAAATAAATGAATGAAAGTCCTATAGGAAGTGGGAGAAATTAGAAGCTATGTTGTAACTTTCCCTTGCACCTTGGAGGGACATATTCATGCTGTAGAATAAACCAGGCAATGGATATGACAGGAAAGGTCAGCATAGGAGTTGGTTATACATAGATTAATAAAGTTCAAAACAAGTGGATATTTAAAGAGAAAAATGTATGGATTGTCTTTGTTTTGCTTGATTGGTCGGGAAAGAAAATAGAGTTTACCTCTCGGGATGAAAGCCAGTGTTATTTACTTCTAATAGGGGACAGTGGAAAGGGATTTCCTTGTATTGTAGTCCATGCTCCCATTTATTTGGGTCAGGCCTTATCTGTCCCTTAAAAAAACCTATAAGTTGTAGTTTCTGATTCTAAATTACTAATATTTAAATAAGAATAAAAGGCATACTCATATAAACAATTAGTAAATATAAGAGTGTGTTCTGGTTTCATAGTAGGTGTTAGTTCAATATTTATTAAATTAGTTGACTCTATAATAGTGAAAAATGATAATACTGGTATCTTCAGGTTATTTTGGTTTTCTGGTGACCTCCAAGAAGCTGGAATTAAGAGAAAAATTCTTTAAGCCCAAGAACAGCCACCACAAAACCTTTTTAAACTTGACTTTGTAGGCTCCGACTTAGGCTTGGTGACTTTTCTCAACATATGGTTTTTACAAACTTTGATATCTAGTTTTTTGGTCATTGTTAGTTTGAAAAGCCAATGATATGATGAAGATGTCTATATAAGCAGACTAAGAAAAATAATAGCTCAAAATTTGAACAAAGAAACAGACAACAAACTAAAACTATATCCCCTTCATGGTATAATTATAATTATTATAATAATGTTGAGTGATTAGGATGCAAAAGTGTTCAACAATATTCATGTTTACTATGATTATCAGAAAAAAAAAAAAGGTGTCCTACCCCAGTAGAATCCTTGTTTAAGAAAACAGGGAAACAAGCAAAATATTTTTAGAGCGAAAACTTGAAGTGAAGGAATTTATTTTATTCCTATTAAAAGATAAACACATTAAGACGTTTTCAAGTTTATCTGAGCATTCAGCATTCATGAATATGGCCACATCATATGGCCAAACAGTTTACTGGGGCATGAAGTGCAGGAAAGGATACTTTTATGAGGTGTTTTTGGAAGTCAAGTTAAGAGAATTGTTTGATGAACTGAAGAGAAAGGGTCCTACTTAGAGGTTAGTTGGCAGTTTCTGGTTGGTTAGACTTAAGTTTTAATTTTAATTTTTTGGTACCAGGAATTGAACCCAGGAGCACTCAACCACTGAGCCACATCCCCAGCCCTTTCTTGTATTTTATTTAGAGACAGAGTCTCACTGAGTTGCTTAGGGCCTTACTAAGTTGCTGAGGCCAGTAGACTTAAGTTTTATAGTATTGTTTACATTAAATTGATTTTTGGTTTGCTTGTAGGAACCCAAGGTACTGGAGCCATCTCTGCCTAATGGCCTCCCAATTATGTTAATGCCTTTTCAAAAATAATGTAAAGCTTTTAAAAATGATACTTAAGAAGGTACAATTTTTAGCTAAAATTTTCCGAAAATTTCACTTACAATGACTCATTCTCTGAGGTTGCCAGGTGCCCAAATAGTCACAGCTAGTGTGCTGCAGACACTTCAGACAAGACAGCCTGTGTGAAGGAGATAATTAAAGTATAACATTTTGTACTTTTCAAGCTAACAACCTATTACCACAGTTTCCACTGGCCCCAAGAATGAAGCCAAAGCAAGGTTGGCCATTAGGTGTTACGTCCGCGCCGTGCTGGGGAAGCAAGGCCGGTCAGGACCTACAAATTCAGGGGAACTTGTTGAGTCTCTGCTGACTTCCTGTTTTCCTTAGGATTCCTGTCTGTGGTAGGCACAATTTCTAAAATGGCCCCCTAAAGACCTTCCACACTAAATCTCTAGAACCTGTGAGGAGGAGGGGCTGCCCCCCACCCCCAGGATTTCTGTGGCAGCCAACCTCAGGGAGGCTGCCAGGGAGGCCTCATCTAAAAGGGGAGTCCTCTAGAGGCAGAAGAGAAAGTGGAGAGATCAGAGACTGGGGGATTCCACACACTGCTGCTGACTGAGGTGGAAGGGGCACTTGAGAGGCATATGGGTGGGGTGGCCTTCAGGAACTGGGAGAGGTCCCAGCTGACAGCCACAAGCCAACAGGGATTCCAGTCCTCCAACCCCAACATCAACAACCTTCGTAATTTAGAAAGTGGGTTTTTCCACAAGGGCTTGGGCAACTACTCAGTCAGACAAGCCCTCGATTTCAGCCTTGGGGTGCCCTGAACAGAGCCACGGGGTGCCAGACTCTGCCTCAGAACTGTGAGGTTACGAAATGTGATAACTAGGAGGGAAGTGTATCCACTGTAGTGAGTCCAAAGGAGAATTTGGCCACTGTCAACAGGAAGAATCATAATTAAATGTGAATTATTTGTTGGGTTCAAGGATTAACTATAATAAATTCTTTTGTCTGAATATTGGATGGCAAACTTCCTGCCAGCTTCCGGTAACTGACCCTTTGTCCCCAAGCTGTGCTCTTGAAATTAAATAGACATCCCCTAATGACCACGGGATATTCTTTTGGAGATAGATCATAAGCAAATAGACCCTCCCCCAAACTACCACACAAGGTGAAATATTTCCCATTTTGTGAAGGGGAACTTTCCCAATCAAAAGGCAAGATGGGAAAAACAGTTTGCATACTGCAATGTATAGAAAGAAACCCAAATACTAAAAACTCTGGTTCTATTATGGCTTCAGATCAATTTTAAAAGTAATTTTCTCATAAACATCCCAAAAAAACTCAGTGTAGAAAAAAAAATTAATCACAAATCTTGGACAATGAGCCTTCTATTTGGGAGAAATGATTAATACAGAAAAATACAATGAAAGCATTTAAACAAAGACCACTATAGCTTATTGAAATGGGATGTGATGTATACCTGAGTGCTTTTGAGTCACATTCAGAAAATATAAAAACACACTTAAGATTGGAAGGACTATTTTTAAACTTTGTTCTATGAAGGATGTGCTATCAACAAGGGATAGTGGAGCACAGATTAGAATCTCCATTAAATATCATCATACTAGGTCTCAGAAATAGGATGGTGTCCAGATGTTGAAGAAAGTTTATCCTGGGATTTAGACAAGCCTGTGTGAGATGGGTCTGCCCAAGGCTTTTCTGGCAGGACCAGAAAGGAGACTTTGAAGTTGCATCTGTGTGTGTGTGCCTGACCCAAATTGTCCTGGTCAGACCCCTCTCAGCAGAATGAGCAGATGAACCTCTGTTTCTAATCTCAGGGCTCTCGGCGCCTCACGGTGCTGCCTCCTGTCCTCCTGTCCAAACTCCTCCTGAGTTTGGGGAAGAGTCCACACCTGTGCTCTGCTCTTTTTCCATGTATTTCCACATCCTGAAGTCTTTCTGAACCATCCCCAGTTAGTGTTCTGTTTTGCTCTAACAGACTGGGAAACTGCAGCAAACAACCCAAAGCTAAAAACAAATAGGGGGAAAGTGGCATACAAAAAGAAATGTCACTTTATTCTTCTAGCTTCCGGCTTGGTCTTCCCCCCAGGATGGGTTTGGAGGGACCGGGAAACCATCTCAGTCATTTCTTCAGGGAACAATTCTGCCTCCTTTAGAGATCCTGGGGTTTATGCAATCCAGGAAAGTGGAGGTTCCAGGTGTGCTGGTGAGATGAGATGCTCCTAGCAGGAGCTACGGGCCATCTGAAGAAGATGGCTCTATTATTACCAATGCCTGCTATCTCTGCCCACATTCAACCACCAGGACCATCGGCACGTCCCCATGCTCCCTGACCACAGCACTCAGGCCTAATCTGTGCAATTGCCACCAGCAGAGGTCTGGCCACTACCTGGGTATGGCCTGGAAACAGAACTTTGCACCCCTAGGTCTCAAGGTATCAGGGAATCTCATCTCCACTGGGACTGGTCTACTCTCTTCCCCTCAACCTCAGAAGCTCTGCTACCCAGGTTTCCCCTAAACCTAGTTCAACCCGCCTGTTCCAGAACCCACCAGGATGTCAGCTAAGAAGGGCAACTGCCTGAGCCCCAGGCCCACAGGATCAGAACCACAAATCTAGGCCCGAAGGAGTTTGCACTCCACCAAAAACTCCACCGAAATGCCTCATCGATGTCCATACACAGAAAACTTGAGAAACATTGAGCCAGAGCCCTAGGCTTTTGGAAAACAAGATCTTTAAATTCTGCAACAATGGAATTCCAGAGCTCCTGGACAAAACCTGTTTTTGTTGAAGAAGGGAAGGGAAAAAAAAACCACAGCTCACTCCCTCGGATGAGTTTGCAGCTGAGGATGCATGACAAAGTGTATTCCTCAGTCAGGTGATTCAGGCCCACAAGTGTTAGTGGAAAATGTAACAGGTCAAGGATCACTGAGATGAAGGAGGCAAGACACACACATGCACACTCACACACACAAATACAAACTCAAGATCGTCAGCCCAAGTGTGAGCAGGTTTTGTTCAAGTGGAAGACAGCTGTGTTGTGGAGGGGCCGTTCAAAGTCCAGACTTACATGTCCACATGGCATTGCCCACAGATGGGTCCCATGGAGCCATCCAGAACCTTCAGTTAAGGCCAATAATGTAAAAATTCAGCTTAAGTTTGAGACTTCCATTTCTTTTTCCCCCCTGGATACTATTTATTATGCTGATTTATTTACAAAAGACTTAAGCAGCTATTAATCAGCACTAATCAGAATATAAACATTCAATGGTTAGTATCTGCAGTAATAAGGGTTTAAAAAAAACACAAAGCTAATTCAAATCCAAAGGTGATTTTAAAACCCACACATATTGCGAGCTTAAGCTCTGGCCATGATTTAAGGGTGTTAAAAGAAATAAAAAGGAGAGAATTAATAAAGTTTCACTAATTTTAGATATATACTTACAAATTTTGAAGTCTCAAATATCCAGGTTGATTGCTTATAAACTCTAGTTGATTTTTTCCTATAGCTAAGAGAAGCATCATAGTGAAAAGTCCCTTCGTTATATGCTAAATTTTAATATTTCACTTTAATTTTGTAATCAATTTCATAAAACCTCTGTTTTTATAGGAACATATTTTTGTGAGGCCTTCAAATGGCACATCCGTCACCTGACGTGAAACACCTCACATAATTAAAGCAGCAGGATTAACTGCCAGCCCTCTGTTTTTGTACAATGGGCAAATATTTAATGCCATGTGGTTATATTGTTTCTCTTTCATTATTTGCTATCCCCAGAAAATCTGGCATCTGATGGAGTTGTCTTCTTTTTCTTTGCAGAGAGCATTTCAATTTCTATCTTCAAAACGGCCCAGACCGAATTGGAAGAACATACAAAAAGGCCCTTTATAATCAGTACACAGACGGAACCTTTAAGACAACCGTAGAAAAGCCAGCCTGGCTCGGGTTTTTAGGCCCTATCATCAAAGCTGAAGTTGGAGATAAAGTTTATGTACACTTGAAAAACTTTGCCTCTAGGCCTTACACTTTCCATGCACATGGATTAACTTACTATAAGGAGCATGAGGGTAAGTTCAACTCACATGGTAACTGGGATTTCCTTTCCTTTGTTTTTTAGTATGAAAACTCCTAAAATGTCGACTCCCCTCCTGGATGATACCTGTAACTGTATCATTTAGATCTGAACTATTTTAATAGCAGGTTAATTTGGGTTCATCATAAGTATGTATGTTTCTCCTGGTTGTGTGAGTTGTGTAAGTGAGTGTTCTGGATTTCTGGGTAGACTCTGATACTGAGAGTCCCTGAGACTTTGGCCAGTGCCCATGCAGCCAGTCAGAATGAGAGAAATTGACCATGTACCTTAATGGCAATTATCAAGAATACAAATAACAATAAGTGTTGGTGAAGATGTGGGGGAAAAGGCACACTCATTCATTGCTGGTAGGACTGCAAATTGGGGCAATCACTCTGGAAAGCAGAATGGAGATTCCTCAGAAAACCTGGAATGGAACCACCATTTGACTCAGTTATCTCACTCCTTGGTTTATATCCAAAGGACTTAAAATCATCATCAGAAACATGGTCACTTCAATGCTAATAGCAGTTCAATTCACAATAGCTAAGCTATGGAACCAACTTAGGTGCTCTTCAAGAGATGAATGGGTAAAGAAAATGTGGTGTATATATACACAATGGAATATTACTCAGCCATAAGAAGAATGAAATTATGGCCTTTGCCAGTAAATGAATGAAACTGGAGATTATCATGCTAATTGAAATAAGCATGTTCAGGTGCCGGGAGGGAAGAACAGAAATCCATTGGATTAGACAAAGGGGAATGAAGGGAAGGGAGAGAAGATGGGATAGGAAAGACAGTAAGTAGAATGAATCGGACATAACTTTCCTATGCTCATATGTGAATACATGACCAGTGTAACTTCACATCATCTTTAACCACGAGAATGGAAAGTTATACTCCATGTATGTATACTATGTCAAAATGTACTCTATTGTCATGAATATCTAAAAAGAACAATTTTAGGTTGTGGCTCAGTGGCAGAGCACTCACCTAGCATGTGCGGGGCCCTGGGTTCGATCCTCAGAACCACATAAAAATAAAATAAAGGTATTGTGTCCAACTACAACTCAAAAATAAAATAAAAGAACTTTTTTTAAAGAACAATTTTAATAAATAAATAAATAAATTTTTTAAAAAGACATTTTAAAAGCCTAGAAGAGATGGAAATCCAAAGGGAAGAGAAAGAAGTGAGGGTGCAGACTGCCTTCACTCTGACATCCCTACCCAGGATCACATATGGCTGCCATCCTAACTCTGGATGTACTCCACCCCAATGAAGGTGGCATGAGCAGTCTCATAGTATCAACCAAACAGTACCCATGGCTGGGTGACCTAGAGTCACCTCTGCAGCACCATTAGCAGAAAACCATTTGAATATAGCACTTGGCAGCTTTTAGGGTGGAGTGTGAAGAACACAGGTGAGGTTTAGTCCTGTGGTCTGATTCTTAGCACAGTTTGAGGATCCCTTATTCCAAATGCTTGGGGCCAGGGTGTTTTGAATTTGGGGGTTTTCATACACATAATGAGATATCTTACGGATGGGACCCAAGTCTAAACATGAAATTCATTTGTTTCACATATACCTTATACACATAGCCTGAAGATAATTTAGCATTTTTCAGTAATTCTGTGCATGAAATGAAGTTGCAAGGTATGGAATTTTCTTCTTGTCGCCTCAAGTTAGTCCTCAAAAATTTTCAGATTTTGGAGCATTTTGCATTAGGACTGTTCAACTTGTACTTGATGACATGAAAAGAGGTAGTATTTTGTTATGGTCAAGGCAAGGGCTTTGAGATGAATAGACCAAGGTTAGTCCCAGGTTTGCCTCTTAGTGTCCAAGTGGTTTTTGGCAAGTTTAAATGGTCTGTGCTTCAGTTTCCTTGTCTATTAAATAGGGCTAATCAGAGTTCATAGTAACAGCTGAATAAACATCAGCTATTATCATAAACAAAAGTGGAGGTCAAGCTACAGTTCATTGACATTACAAGGATCAAGTCTGGAAAAGAATTTAGATGAGTTCTGATTATTGGCTTTTTGTTGTTGTTGTTGTTTGTTTGTTTATTTGTTTGCTTTTTAGTACTGGGATTGATCCATATCCCAAGCCCTTTTTTTAATATTTTATTTAGAGACAGGGCCTCGCTAAATTGCTGAGGCTGGCTTTGAACTCGTGATTCTCTGTCTACTTCAGCCTCCTGAGCCACTGAGATTTCAGGTGTGCCCCACCATGCCTGGCTCATCTTTTTTTTTCTAAAGAGACAGCATGTTAGGAAATGAGCATTTATTTTTAAAGTGTAATAATGGTGTTGTGGTTTTGTTAAACAAAATTTAAGTTCTTATCATTTAGAGATAGCTACTCAGGCATTTCTAAATGAAATATGATGTCTGGAATGTCTTTTAAAAGAATTCAATATTGCCAGGGATAAGAGTGAGTGGGTTGCAGATGAAACAAGACTGGCTTTGAGTTTATCATTGCTGGTGCTAGGTTGATAGGTATGTTAAAGACTCATTGACTTTTGGAGGTACCTAGAGATTCATCTTAGCTTCTGCATGCTTAAAATGTTCCAAAATTAAGTGTAAAACATTTTGGGGGAAGTTTCATAGTTACTTCACAGACAACAATCTGATGTCGTGTCACAAGTTTAAAGTGGTAGGAGAGGGTAGTCATTTTGCTCAAACCTTCATACTGTGACCCCAAAGTAAAAGTTGTTCTTTAAATTATAAAGTAAAAGTCACATTCTTCCTTACATATCTATTATGGCCCCTTAAAGACTCAGTCAAGTATAAAAACAATAACAATTCCTGTGAAGCTTCTAGACCCCCTAGCCATTAGCCTCTCATTTTTTCAGGGTTCATTTTTTCAGGACACTACTGTATCCCCAAGGGCACTTATGAGATGCTGAATGTTTACTGAAGGAATTAATGGCCGATTTGTATACCCGTGGTGAAGTTCAAACACATTCCCTCCATCTCCAATGATGCTTCTTCCTAGGGGCCATCTACCCTGATAACACCACCAACCTTCAAAGAGCAGATGACAAAGTGCTTCCAGGAGAGACCTACACGTACATGGTGCTTGCCACGGAGAACCACAGCCCTGGGGAAGGTGACGGCAACTGCGTGACGCGGATCTACCATTCCCACATCGATGCTCCGAAAGACATTGCCTCGGGGCTCATCGGACCTTTAATAGTCTGTAAAAAAGGTACCTTTCTCTTGACTGGCCAAAGACAGGGACGCGGTTTATTTTTAGACATCCATCAAGTCTCCTTCATTGAGGCTGAAGAGGTGAGGGAGGGGGTGAGCCTAGAACAGGGGAAGGGGAGGAGATGAAGGCGTAGCAAGGGCAAGGGGAAAGCCTGAAAAGCAGGGCTCCTGGGGGTAGGTCTGCTCTAACTCCAGCAGGGGTGTCCTGCAGAGATGCATGACTTAACCACGTGTGACCGCCCCCCTCCAGTGGCAATCTATGGTGACAAATCTGTAATCATCTGCATTATGCTGTGCCACAGTCTGGCTGGGCACAAATCAGGAGCCACTGAAGCAGGAACAAACTTTATTTTTGAACTCCACCAGCAACTCCTCCCAAAGGCCACTTGGCTCCTCCAGGAACCAGCCACCGGAAATATATCCTCCGGAAATCCCTCCTCCTGCACTTCTCCAACCAATGGGAACTCCCGGGGAATCCCCGGGAATCCCCGGGAATCCCCACCAGAACTCCAAAGTAGTGCGAGAACTCAAAAGTAGCAGCCCAGGCAGATAGTAATGCCTCGCCTGTCAATCAATACTGTTGGCAAAATGCCAGGGGCCATACAGACTCGGCCATAGCTCTCAGCAAGGCTGGTAAATACAGCCTTGGTGGTGTCTATTTGTAATACGGTGAAAAGGGCACCTGAGCACAAGAGCTCAGATTCCATGATTGGCAATCATTAGGCACTGGCAAAGTCTCTATGCACCGGGAGATGGAGAGGCAATGCTGAGTGCCCACCTTCCCATTTGCCAAAAAGCACAGGGACGTGGCCAGTGGATGTGCAGATACACCAGTGACCCCAAAGGCAGGATACCAAACCCCAAAGACAGGATACCATTTCCATGCCTACAGAATACAAGTGACTGGTCCAGATAAGAGGCTTATTAGGAAAATGAATATTACACTTAAAACAACAAAAAAACTATAAATCACCTGAAAACACAAGTCAAAACAAATGCTAAAATTTTAGATCTACTGAAGCAGAAATTTTCACTTCAGATTCTCTAGATAAGGAGAAAGAAAAGAACATCGATCAAGAATTTGTGGTGATGTTTTCTGTGGTGGATGAAAACCTGAGCTGGTACCTAGAAGACAACATTAAAGCTTACTGCTCGGAGCCAGACCGAGTGGACAGAGACAATGAGGAATTCCAGGAGAGCAACAGGATGTACTGTAAGCACTGGACTCTCCACTTGACTTTGCTTCCCGTGAGCAATCAATTCTGCTAGGTCGATTCCCTTGCATAAGCAATGAATTCTAATCTGTGGCCTTGATCGCAAAGTGTACTGGACACGTGACCTGGACTCCATCTAAACAGGTCAAAATTAAAACCCTAAACCAGCTAAGCTAGATAAACCAACTGTCCACAAACCAATAAGGGCAAAATTAGAGTTAATGCATGTGTACATTACATTTATGTATTTATTTAGACTCCAAGCCCATTCTAGAAATTATTTGAGGTGGCAAATTGATTATTAAACCAAATGCTTAAAAATTATACTTTTAAAGTACCTAACAGTAATTAAGAAAACAGTTCAAATCCCTAGTTCCAAAAAGTATCCTTTTAAATGCTACCTCGCCCCCACCAGGGCCCTCTCTACATCATTCCAACTGTATTTTAGTTCACTTTCCATCTTCTAGAAATGCCTTTTTTTTTTTTTACAACTTACTCTTTTTCTTAATCCTCAGACACAAAATAATGAACTTAGAAAGATTATCTCTCCCTCAGAATTTGCATGAGAAATCAAATACCCTTAACACTAACTAGGCCAGTAAGAATAGATTTTTGTTTGTGTTTAGCTTCTTCAAAATAATCTTTGCTCAGAAACAAAGAAAACAAACAAAAATAACTGTACTCCCAAAGTAGAAAAATAAACTAATTACATACATGTCCTTAGTTTCCAGTTTTTGCTTATAAAAAACCGGGGCTGACCCAAGGGTCCCCTTTCCATACTTTGATCTTGCCTACGCTATGTGCTAACAGAAACAGATATTAGAAAAAGATGCTCAAACTTCCAGTCTGTATAGGTTTGGTGAATTGACAATCATCTGTGAACTGATGATCCCTCCCAGCACTGATTTCTACCTAGGAAATTTCCGAAATGACCCAGTTTGAACAATGACCCATACAGGTCTCAAGTCACACAACTTTTAACTTTTATGTCTTCGTGGCCATGGTCCTTGGTCCTGGCTCTCCTTCCTCTGCATTCTTCTTTTCCTCTTTCATATTTCTTTCAAATTTGCCTTGTAATCTTAAAAAAATAATGTTAAAGCTTTTCTTGTTTTCTTATTATAAAAGAAATTTATAGTAGAAAATTAGAAAAATTCTGATAAGCAAAAAAACAAAACAAAACAAAAAAACTTTAAATCATCCACACTACCCCTACCAACATGACCAATAATCGATTGACTACCAAATAACCTCCAATCTTTTTTCTGTATGTGTGCAGGTATTATATATATGCATGTGTCTATGAACACATTTTCATTAACAAACACAAATACTTACAACTAGGGTATATAGTTGATGACTAAGAGAGCAAATAGGTTTTATCTTCAGTGAATTCAGTCTGAATTCAGGTCCAAAATGGAAGAGCTCTGCCATCAACTAGCCAAGTGTGACATGAAAATGGGAGGGAGGAACAGCTGCTCCTGAGCTGGTATTTTCTATCCTGAGCTGATTCTTTTTCTGGGGAGGTAACATATTACTATCACAGGCACCCCTGGGCATCAGTCACAAACTCTGCTCTCGACTTGCAGCTGTGAATGGATACACTTTTGGAAGTCTGCCAGGACTCTCCATGTGTGCAGAAGACAGAGTAAAATGGTACCTTTTTGGTATGGGTAATGAAATCGATGTGCATTCGGCTTACTTCCATGGGCAAGCACTGACCAACAAGAACTACCGTGTGGACACAATCCATCTCTTCCCTGCTATGCTGTTTGATGCTTTTATGGTGGCCCAGAACCCTGGAGAATGGTTGCTGAGCTGCCAGAACCTAAACCATCTGAAAGGTAGGACACCCTTGCGTGAACTTGGCTGTCAGCTGATAAGAGTTATATATCTTGGGCTGGGATTTGTGGCTCAGTGGTAGAGCACTTGACTAGCACATGGGAGGCCCTGGGTTTGATCCTCAGCACCACATAAAGATAAATAAATAAAACAAAGGTATTGTGCCCATCTACAACTAAAAAAAAAATATTTAAAAAACAAACAAATTATGTCTCAGTTGCTACACTAACAGGGTGATCATGCGGAATCAAAATCTAACTGCAAAATGTCCTTGGAATAATCTGAGCTTTGAACTGGTATCCTAGTTTTATCCCATAATGATACGTATCATGGTGTAATAAAAAAAACTGAAAGCCTGGTATGTTTATAAAGTAATGAGGTCTGAAAAGATAATAAGTCCTGGAAAAGAATAATTGATCCTGCCTTGAAAGCATAATATTGCATACAGTTTTTCAATTTTGTAAAACATACAATATTGGAAAAACCAGATCCATTTATTATGCTGATAATCAACCTGGTTTTTGGCTTGTCACATGTAGCCAGCTTTGTTCCTTATTTGTGACTACCTATTCCTTTCCTTAACTTGATAAATCCCTCCTGTGTCTCCTTAATAGAAGGCAATAAAAATATTCCCTATCTTTGAAAACTATTTGTGAGATTGATCTCCCAAGGAAATTAGGCATAACCTAGGCTCCCTTATTACCCAGAACTCCAGACACAACTGCTTGTAGCAAACATGCATGATTCTCAGGAGGCCCAGCAGGTGCGGAGCTATTTTGTGAGAGCAATAGTCTGTGCTCATTCTAGTCCTCCTTCTCCTGCCTCTACCTCATGAGATATGTCAGAGTCCCTCTTCCTTGCTTATCTATGGATTTGTCCTTTTTTCCTCCTCAAAAGAACTCCCCAGTGCCCTCCCACAGAAATTGGTACCACATTTTGGAAACACATGTGTTTAATGTCTCTAAGCTGTATGTGCATAAAAAGTAGATGTCTTTTTAAAAGCCTGAATTCTAAATAAAACTTGCAGCAGCATCTGCAGGGGAATAGGAGAGAGATACTTTGGATCCATTAATGAAGCCTCTTTGCTGTCCTCCCAGCCGGTTTGCAGGCCTTTTTCCAGGTTCATAACTGTAGGGAGCCCTCCTCCGAAGACAACATCCGGGGGAAACACGTGAGACACTACTACATTGCTGCTGAGGAAATCATCTGGAATTACGCTCCCTCCGGTATAGATATCTTCACCAAAGAAAATTTAACAGCTCCTGAAAGGTAATCCCCAAAAAATTATTATTTCAAAACTTGCTCCATCCAAAATTTTTTTTAAATCATAAAGAATTGATTCAGCAAATTAAAATTTTAATCAGTATTGATACCAAATAGCTAGACTACTATTTATGCTGCTTGTTATAAGAGACTGTGTTTGAGAATGGACATTTGAGTCTATCCAAAAAAAATGGGTTCAAATGTTATGAAATGCTCAACAAAGTCCTAAGAAAACACTGAGTGCATTTAGAGACATGGATTAATTTTCTTTGCATTTTTGAAAACAGTCTAGCAGCTCTGAATATGTCAACAATATTGTACAACATTAGACATAGACAGCACTAATGCCTATGCCCAGAACTTTCTTATCATCCCAAATGGAAACTCTGTATTCATTAAAAACCCCATTTCATCTTTGCCATGACCCCTGACAACTCTATTCCACTTTTTATCCTTATGACTTTGTCTCTTCTGGGTGACTCATATAAGTGGAATCATACCACATTTCTCCTTTTGTGTCAGGTTTATTTCACTTAGCATAGTGTTTTCAAGATCTAGCCACATTATTGCATGTATCAGAATTTCATTCCTCTTTAAGATGCAACCATATTCCCACTGTATGTGTACACTGTATTTTGTTTGTTTATTCATTGGTTAAAGGACATTCGGGTAGTTTCTACCTTTTGGCTCTTGTGACTAATGCAGCTGTGAACATTGGTGTGCAAATACCTGTTCCATTTCCTGCTTTCTGTTCTTTTGGGTAGCCATCCAGGAGTGTGACTTCTGGACAGCATGGTAGTTCTGTGTTTAGTTTTTGAGGAACCACCCAGATGTTTCCCACAGTGGCTGCACCATTTTACACACCTAAAAGATGCATGCAAGGGTCCCAGTTTCTCCACATCCTCACCAACGCTTGCTGTTTTCTTCTTCTTTCAGTAGTAGCCTCTTGTGTGTGAGGAGATAAAGTGGTTTTAATGAGGCGATGGTTGGAGAATGCCATGAGATTATGCCCCTCGCCTGCCTTCTCTGTTCAGGCATCAGTGCCTCAGAGAAGTCCTGTCTGCCACCCATCTTACAAATCACACAGCAAGTTGGTACCTGGGCCTGCTGGCTCCACTCATGTCTGTGGCTCCTGAAGACTTGAGTCCCAGGCTCCCCTGACTTCCAGATGTGGCGACTCTCACAGCTCCATCTCCAACCCAGAAGGGTCTTCTTGTACATTTCAAATTTCTTAGTGACACCTCCACTTGGAGGAGGCCCATCCAACTCCGCACGTCTAAACCTGAATTCATTGTTTCCTGCATAGAACTGTTTCCTCCTCTCTCAGCGAATGACATTGCCAACTACCTGTGAACCCATTTGTCCACATGCTGGAGTCCAAAGCCTGAGTGCCATCCTTGTTTCCCTTGCTCTTCCACCAATCCCTCCTCCTCCCCCATCAAGCATTACCTTGGGGTATCCTAAATGTCTCTGAAAGCTGTCTAATCCTCTCCTCCTCTTTGCCAATGTCTCTGAAGTCAACACCACCTTCCACTGAAAGCAACCCTCTGACTGGCCTTTCTCTTGCAGTCTGGCATGTTCCCACACACTCTCCAGGCAGCTGTCTGGAGGGTCCTCCTAAAACATTAAGCACCCATGCTTAAGTGCTTCAGCACTGCCCTTAACTAGGTCCTCTTACCCAGCCCCCATCTCTCCAAGCCTCTTTATTTACTCCTCGCCATGCCCTACATGTTTCGCTTCTGCTGTGTCCCTAGACCATCCCTGCTTTCTGAGCCTCCCTACAGGCTGTTCTTCTTTGTAATCACCTGCCCCATTCATCAGACCACACACATTTCATCTTGGTATCACTACTTCTCCTTTAGATATTTTAAAGAATCACTTCCCTGGGAGATCTGAGCAACCTAGGCCCCTCTGCATCGTGTCCCCAGCAAGAATGACTCCATGACACCCTGTGCTCATTGCATTTATTGTATCGAGATTGCTTCATAGTCACTCCTCTGATAAATGTCAGGTCCCTGTGGACAGGCATATCAGCCTGCATACTATGCATATCATCAGCATATCACAGGTGTCCTGGACAGAGCAGATATTCAACACATTTGCAAATGAAAGAAGAGATGAATGGGGTGCCTTTGTGCTAGTCAGATGCCCTTCTGGTGTTTAATTTCTTCATTTGTAAATGTGGAGGATGATTCCCACTTAGTGGCCTGTGCATTTCAGCAAATGAAAGAAAGTTTCCATCAGCTAGCTGGTGCAACTCTAAGACAAACTGCAGCTACTGTGTTTTCAAACATTTCATGACTAAGTACAAAGATTCTGTTGTAGAACAAATCATTAACTGTCAAGGGTGGACAAGGACCCTCCTGAACTTTTCATTTCAGGTGATGATTGTCTTGAGGCAGTGAACAGGATTTTTTTCTTATATGGGCCTTATGTGAATACACACCTTCTGTCTCACTTCAACACCAGCATCAGACCTTTTTTCTTTTGACAGTGACTCAAGGGTATTTTTTGAACAAGGTTCTACAAGAATTGGTGGCTCTTATAAAAAGCTGGTTTACCGTGAGTACACAGATGTGACCTTCACAAAGCAAAAGGAAAGAGGCCCAGAGGAGGAACATCTTGGCATCCTGGGTGAGTCTGCAGAAAATATGCATGGCTGGGGATACCCACCCCCAACCCAAGAAAGAACAGACTTCCATGTGAAAACTGGGCACTCAGAGAGTCAAACTCCAATAAAATGCAGCAACTAATAAGAAGGCCGGGCATGACCCCAAGCCCTCTGCAGGTGTCCCCAGGACAGCCTCCAGATGTGCATAGTGGAAGACCAGAGTGTGGATTCAGATGTCCTTCTTCTTCATCTGTTAGCTTCGGGGATTTTGGAAATGACTTAACTTTCTGTGCCTGCTTGACTCCGCAATATGGGAACAATAATAGTGCTTACCTCATGAAATCGTAGTGAAGATTAAATGAGCTATTACATGTAAATACTCAGAACTGCAGATAGAAAGCTCTCAAAGATCAGTTTGGCCATTCCGCAAAATATCTATGTACTATAGAACTATGTTTTTATTCCATAACTGGTAATAATATTAATTTTAGTGATAGAAAATCTGAAAGTGTCATCCTTTGTAACCAAACTAATAAGCTGCTTTGGGTGATCATGGTTTATAGAACCCACTGACTCTTGGGACAAATGACACACATTTAGCCAGCAGAAGACTAGACTGAGGAGTATATAGTTACTTCAAATAAGTTTTTGTAGATGTGTAGACACTCAGTACAATTTTTCATGGATGTTGAAAGTCTATTATTAACTTGGGGGAAAAAATGATAACAAATTTCATTACCCTGAAGTTGGATCAAAAAGTCCTTCTTATCTGTTCCTAATCTCACCATGTCAGATTGGCCATGAACTTTTTTAAAAAAAAAACAACTTTTCAGTTTGCCACAAATAAGCATGTTGCTTCCAGTAGTACTCGCTGGAGGACACTGCCGAAGAAAATAATGCTTATACATTTTGCACATTATATAGCAATGAAGTCCAATAATTCTCCCTTTGTTCCTAGGTCCCATCATTTGGGCAGAAGTGGGAGACACCATCAAAGTCACCTTCTATAACAAAGGACCATACCCCCTCAGTATTGAGCCAACTGGGGTGAGATTCAGCAAGGACAATGAGGGCATGTTCTATGCGCAACACTACAATCCCCCGACGGAAAGTGAGTATGGCCCCTTTCAACCAATCATCAGCAATGTAAAGTTTTACAAGACGTCCAGATGCTCATTTTAGAATATTGGAAAAATATATGAAGGTATAACCAAAAATATGCGTTATCCACAGTTCTATAGACAAGTACGATTACATTTTATATAATTCCTCCACTTTCTTCTATGCACTATAATAAATATTTTAAATATGATCATGATAGTACATAAATATACTTATCATAATAGTTTTGCACCCAGAGTTTGTTCTGTTAGCATTATAAGTATTTATACATATAATTTTAATGATGCAAAATATACCAGCATATGGATATCTTTGAGCTTTTCACTTTTCTTTTTTTTATTATTTTTTTATTATTATATAAATGTTCTTTATTCTATAATACTGTTTTTTTTAAAATTTTTTTTAATTGGTTGTTCAAAACATTACAAAGCTCATGACATATCATCTTCCATACATTTGATTCAAGTGGGTTATGAACTCCCATTTTTTACCCCAAATACAAGTTGCAGAATCACATCGGTTACACATCCACCTTTTTTACATAATACCATATTAGTGACTGTTGTATTCTGCTACCTTTCCTATCCCCTACTATCCCCCCTCCCCTTCCCTCTCATCTTCCCTCTCTACCCCATCTGCTGTTGTTTAATTCTCTCCCTTGTTTTTTTTTTCCCCCTTTCCCCTCACAAACTCTTATATGTAATTTTGTGTAACAATGAGGGTCTCCTTCCATTTCCATAGTTTCCCTTCTCTCTCCCTTTCTCTCCCCCCACTCGTCTCTGTTTAATGTTAATCTTTTCCTCATGCTCTTCTTCCCTGTTCTGATCTTAGTTGCTCTCTTTATATCAAAGAAGACATTTGGCATTTGTTTTTTAAGGATTGGCTAGCTTCACTTAGCATAATCTGCTCTAATGCCATCCATTTCCCTGCAAAATCCATGATTTTGTCATTTTTTAGTGCTGCGTAATACTCCATTGTGTATAAATGCCACAGTTTTTTAATCCATTCATCTATTGAAGAACATCTGGGTTGATTCCAAAGTCTAGCTATTGTGAATTGTGCTGCCATGATCATTGATGTGGCAGTATCCCTATAGTATGTTCTTTTAAGGTCCTCAGGGAATAGACCGAGAAGGGCGATAGCTGGGTCAAATGGTGGTTCCATTCCCAGCTTTCCTAGGAATCTCCATACTGCTTTCCATATTGGCCGCACCAGTTTGCAGTTCCACCAGCAATGTACAAGTGTACCCTTTTCCCCACATCCTCGCCAGCACTTATTGTTGCTTGACTTCATAATGGCTGCCAATCTTACTGGAGTGAGATGGTATCTTAGGGTGGTTTTGATTTGCATTTCTCTGACTGCTAGAGATGGTGAAAAAACATTTTTTCATGTACTTATTGATAGATGAGCTTTTCACTTTTCAAGGGTGACCAATGAAGACTGGTGATTTTGCCACCACTTGCAGTGTGACCCTGGGCTGGTTATTCAGCCTCTCTGGCCTCAGTTTCCTCAAGTGTAAATTGGGGAGGTTTGAATAGTTCCACAATTACTTTCAGTTTTAAGCTTCTTGAATAAGTCACTCTAACCTGCTGATCTGACACAGGAGCACTAGTAGGATTCCATTCTCACTCACCACAAGGAACCTGGAAGTAGATTATCCTAAACTCAATTCATCATGTGGCTCTAGTGACAGTAAGAAGAACACTGACCTTCCTGCTGTGGCCTCCTCACAGGTCCACCTCCTCATCCAGCCTCCCATGTGGCACCTAAGGAAACCTTTACCTATGAATGGACTGTCCCCCAGGAAGTGGGACCCACTTATGCAGATCCCGTGTGCCTGTCTAGGATGTATTATTCTGCTGTGGATCCCACGAAAGATATATTCACTGGGCTTATCGGGCCAATGAAAATATGCAAGAAAGGAAGTTTACATGCAAATGGGAGACAGGTAGGTCTAGTCAGAGGAAATGAAAATGATGTGTCAATCTCTAAGTTATCATTATTTTGAGACAGTGAAGATTTCACATATAACTTTTATTCTCAATTTTTCTTAGCCTAATAAGATGTATATTAAGCAGAGATTTTCTCCTAATACGATTGTTAGAAGATGGGTTGGGAATGTGATCGTCCATAGGATCCCTGGTCTTTTATGATAAAAATAGACTTTTAACATGAACATTTTAAAAATCACCTACTAATGATAATGGTGCTGAGAATGAAACCCAGGGTCCCACTCATGCCAGACAAGTGTTCTACCACTGAGCCACACCCTAGTCCCATGTCTATATTTTTCTGTGGTGTTTTATAATACGTTTTTATTTCCCCTTCTTAATTGCTATAAATCAGTGACTTGATTTAAAGGTTTGATCAAATACAGAGGTTTTTTTTTTTTTTCTTTTAAGGTTACTATAACATGTGGGCTTGTGGTCCTACAAGAATACTTCTATCAGAGAAAGTATAATGTATACTAGGCCCTCAGTAGGAGATGTTATCAGTCATCAATGATCTTTTCCTAGATCATAAACTAATCAGAAGTTGTGTCGTCGTCGTCGTCATCATCATCATCATCATCATCTTTTTGAATTCTACTCTTTTCTCTTTTTTATCTGGTATTTTTCTAAAAGTTTAAAGTTCCTGTAATTAGTTATTTGGTTATCTCAAGGGACATGTTCTATATGAAGGAGAAGACAAAAATTTGATCCTTCCGGTTTTTTTTTAAGTTTTCAAATTTGAAATAATTCAAGCTTCAATAATGTCTTCTTAAGTCAAATTATGTATTGTCAAATTTGGGGACGGATTTACCCATTCTAATAGGAGATAAATAGTTATCCTTTATTCTATTTATTTCTAGTTTACTGAGAATGTTTTTCTATTTATAAAAAAAAAAAAAAGACAAATTACTTGAACTTCTCAAAAAAAAAAAAAAAAAAATCCTGTGCTAGGCACAGAATTCAGTGGTAAATCAAACATCTAAGCTGGTTTATAGCCATAATAGATTTACAGTTTAGAGTTATGTGGGGGGAGGGCAACGAGAGGAGATAAACAAACACAGAAAAATGAAAATAAATAACTTCAGGGAGTGACAAATGCTTTGGAAACCCAAATACAGTAATGGGAAAGTGAATCAAAACCTTGAGAAGATGGAGACGACATCTAAGGAGCTAAACTTCAGGCAAACAAACTCACAGCAGTCTGGGGGGACACAAAGGGAACAGGTGGGCAGGAACACTCCATGTTACAAAAATTTCATTTCAGATGATATTTTTTAAATGGAGTATTATAGAAATTCTGTCTCTGAAATTTAAAAAATGTTACCATGACATTTTTAGGTGTAGTTACTATTTCATCTTATTTCCAGTGAAGCTTTTGAATCTGAAGACTTTGGTTTTTTCTCTTTATGCTGGTGGACATTCCTGCTACTATATCTGATGATTGTGTCTCCCCCTTTTTCAACTCCTGTCTTTCTAAAATCATTGCTGTATGTACTTCTCATCTTCATTTCTTCTGATATATGGGCACTTTCTTCAGATCAACTTCCTTAACTCAGTTCTCGATAGGATCTAACCTTCAGGTCTCTGCCTTTAGTGGGTTTTACACTTTGATAATTGTGTTCTTCATATCAAGAGGAATCTTAAGGGAAAGACATGCAACTCTCTCTAACGTTTGCTCTCCTTTGCCATCTTCTAAATTCTTTTTTTTTTTTTTTGGCCCAGGGGCAGGAGAGGGCCCAGCTGGTTGGAGACTGTGAATCCATGCTCCAATTCATTGGCAGATTATTTAATCACTCAGGATGATCTATCTTTCAATCTGTTGCTTCCACCTGCTCTGCCTTCAGGAATTCTGAAGTTCTCATAAATGTGCATGCATCTTCCCTGACTTCCATCACCCACACGTATCCACCCCCCAATTTTAGTAATTTTTTTTGGAGTGTAGTTTCAGTTGATGGGGGGCACGTGGGTAGGAAGGGAGATGAGAATCTGAAGTTTTAGCTGCAGAGAGAAACTCAGATTACCATACTGAACCACAACCCCATTAACAGACGCCAAGGTAAACCCTGGTAACCAACTGGAATTTCACCAGCTCTAGTTCACAAAGAGGAGCAGACATGTCTGTTCTTGCTTTAGCCTGTCTGCATACACAGCCTTATGTCTGCCACTTTATTCATTCTGCCTTCACCTCATTGTTCTTCTGATTTGCAGAAAGATGTAGACAAGGAGTTCTATTTGTTTCCCACTGTATTTGATGAGAACGAGAGTTTGCTCCTGGATGATAATATTAGAATGTTTACAACTGCACCTGATCAGGTGGATAAAGAAGATGCAGACTTCCAGGAATCCAATAAGATGCACTGTGAGTACCACATCCCCACCAAGCTCTGGGGTTATTTCAGTGTTGAATACATATGACTTTTATTTAAACCAAAATGTGGACAGCTTTGCTCATTAATATTCAACAAATGATTAAACAGTGCTCTGATGGTAATATCATTGGTTATTTAATATTTCAGTCAATTATCCATCATTTCACTTAACTCAGAATATAAGACATACAAGATACGCCTAGTAGATGAATAGTCCTGAAAGGGGGTCCCTATCAGCAGTCTCCACATTGCCTATGGACATGAAAGGCAAATCCTTAAGCCCAATCCCTACCCAGTAAATAGAAATTTGGTGTGTTAACTCCCAGAAATCTACATTTAACAACCCTCCAGGTCATTCTGATGTAGGCTCAAGTTTGAGAACTACCGGGTTGGGCACTTTTCTCACCCATGCCTCAGTAACGACAGGCTCATTTTATTATTCAATGTAAAAAGATATGACCTTTGCCCTATGATCTCATGATTCTCACTCTTGACTGAACATCACCTGAGGATCACCTACCTGGGAGCTTTAAAAACTACCAATGCCCAGAATAATTTTCATTTAATTGAAGCCTAGATTTGAAGATATAATGCAGTGTGTGTGTGTGTGTGTGTCTGTATAATTTCTTCTTTTTCTTTTTCTCTCGGTGTAATCCTAAAATATGATGGTTATGGTTAGAGACAGTGAGCTAATGTTCAAAAAGCCCACACCACTAATTTAGAACAGTAAAAACTATTGTAGCTCACAGAGGGAAAAAAAAAAAAAAAAGTTAAGTTTTGGTTAGTTTGTTTACAGCTAGACTGGTTCTGGTCATACCACCTACAATCTATGAAATATGTTATTGATTCTGCATTTTTGCATTTTGCAAGTATCAAAAATATTATCTATTGAAAATAACAGAAAAAATTCCTTGCATCGACTCTTCCCTGACGTTCAAGATGAGAACTTTCATCTAAGACAAACACATTCCCAGTGTATGATGTCCAGGAAGAGCAGTATTTGTTCATAGGTTTAGGAACTCACTAAAATGACCACAGAGAGAAGAAAGAATGGCAGCGGAAACCCACTGTTCTAGCAGGAAGAACAGGGAGGTCCCCAAGGTGCCAGGGACACAGCACAGAACTCTGAGGCCTTCAGTTCTGCTCCTTTAGTCAGGGACTGCTCTGGAAGTGCCAGGGATGACACAGACACTCCTGACACATAAAGAACAGACAGGCTTGAATGGGGCTTTTAAAATTAAAAAAAAAAAAAAAAAAAAACACATAGTTGGGTTTGGAAAGTCAGAGACTGTCATAAAATAAATTGCTCTCAATAGGATATTTCCCAACTTTTACAGCGATTAATGGATTCATGTATGGGAATCTGCCTGGTCTCAATATGTGCCTAGGAGACTCAGTCGTGTGGTACGTATTCAGTGCTGGAAATGAGGCCGACGTACATGGGATCTACTTTTCAGGAAACACATTTCTGTCAAAAGGAGAAAGAAGAGACACAGCCAATCTCTTCCCACAAACGAGTCTGACACTTCTCATGCAGCCTGACTCGGCAGGTTCGTGTGCCTAGAGCCAAGATAAGACTCTGTTAGGCTGATTCGTGTAGCCAAACATGTTGGGTGGTAAAGTCACCCTGGCTCAAGTCTCCCAAAGGTCCTTCCTTCCTTGAAAGGGTGTGTAAGGAATATATAGACCTGCGTATTCCCTATCTACTGGGGATAAAAGGGGATACCAGAGGAAGAAGAGAGGGGGCTCTGGTTTACTCCGATTCCACACAGAAGAGTCCTCAAGCAATTTCCTTTTTAATTCAGGTCCTCTTGAAGGTAGCTGGGGAGGCAGAGTAGCAGGGTGGCCCCCACAGAGCTCCAACGCTGAGCTTTCCATAGGGTCTCTGGAGCCTGGATACACTGCTTGCCCTGTTCTCCGCTAGAACTGCAGCCATGCAAATTCAGACAGCGACCAGCCTTGCTCTGAATGAGCCAACCAAACTGAAACAACCCAGAAAGAATTTTAATCAAGATACGAAAATATGCTAATTTATTTCAGGATTTATTTGGCTCATTTTGTGCCACTAAAACTTAAAACAGATGCAGTGACTCCCTTTTTATTCTTTTGACAAGTAGAAATACATTGGGCAATGAAAAAAAAAAAGGAGATAAAGTGTCTCATGGAGCTGAAATTCTATCCCAGGGAGACAGACACTAAGCAATCCTAAGAATACATCCACATCAAGTGGTTATAAGTACGGGCAGAAGACTAGGGCAAGGAGGAGATGGCGACCTGTGGAGCAGGAGCCAAGACTCCCTCAGGAGGTGACAATTAAGGAGAGACCTGAATAATGTGAGCGTGTGCACCATGTAGATATCTGGGGAGAAGCTTCCTGGCAGGGGAGGTGGCCAGTGCAAGGGTATCTGGATGGGCACATGCCAACCACTTCTAAGCTAAGGGGCCTGCAATAGAGTAAACAGCAGGTGAGGCCATCAGAGGTGGGGGTCAGGTCCTCTAACCGGGTCACAAGAAGGGCTTTGGCATGGATTTGGAGTAAGGTAGGGAGCCACCTTTTCCTCTCTCCCACTCCAGGGACCTTTGACGTCGAGTGCCTTACGACCGACCACTACACAGGTGGCATGAAGCAGAAATACACTGTGAGCAGCTGCACACAGCAGCCCGAGGATCTCACCGGCTACCTGAATGAAAGAACCTACTACGTGGCAGCCCTGGAGGTGGAATGGGATTATTCGCCACACAGGGCATGGGAGAAGGAGCTGCATCACTTACAAGAGCTAAAGTAACCCGCCAGGCTTTCATTTCCACTTTGTGATTTTAGGTTTCCTACCAGAGGAGAATGATACCAACTTTTAGAATCAGAAGCCCTTGGGTTCAGCAATACCAACCCAAACAACAAAAGCCTCCTAAGAACCTGTCCTCATCTATTGCTGCTTAATTTTCTCATGAGGAAAACTTCCATTATTTTGTTATTTATTTTCAAACTAAACCAAAATTAGGGGCCAAATTCAGAGCTCACTGTTAACTTCATTTACCAACTATTGGCTGCTTGTTTTTCTTTCCAAATTTTACTTTTAGTGCATTTTGTATTCCTAAAACTGTTAGGTATGCAAGAGTATTTTAAATGCCTGATGGCAGTCTAGGAACTCTTTCCTCCCAAGAACTTATTAGAAAATATGGTTCAAAACCATTAGCGATGTGTGCTGTATGGAAAAATAAGAATAAATTTAGTGTGCATAATGAAGTGAAAGATGGCTACCAGAGCTTCCAACACCCGTTCGGAGCAGCATCACCTGGCACCCTAGTAAGCACTGTGCTCTCCTCTATATCAAGTACATCTTGCACCATATGGATGATCTGGTCTGAGGACTGGGCTCTGCATGGATGAGCAGATCCAGGGTGCACAGCACAGAGGAGAGCCATGGTGAGCAGCGCAGGCTGGTCAGTTTGACTGTGATGGCAACTGTGGTTTTCAGTGGAATAAAAGGTTATTTTGGTGACTGGGATTAAATTGTTAAAAAGCTATGCAAGCCAGGTGTGGTGGCACACGCCTGTAATCCCAGCAGTTTGGGAGGCTGGCGCAGGAGGATTACAAATTCAAAGCTAGCCTCGGCAATTTAGTGAGGTCCTAAGCAACACAAAAAGACTCTGCCTCTAAATAAAATATATTGGAGATGTGGCTCAGTGGATAAGCAATCCTGCGTTCAATTTCTAGTACCAAAAAACAAAAAGACTATATAGGAGTCATGAGGTGGCCATGAAAATTTTAGGAACAGGGAATGATCGGGAAAAGGTGCCATTGCAGCTTCTAGCATCCAGAAATGTGGCAGTAGCCTGAAATCCCATCACTGACCGAATCTGGACTCATACAGCTTTAGGCAGCACGGAAACCTAGGGATGATCTGTTGATCAGAAAACCGTGGCTCCAACAGGTCGTGATGAGCTGGAGGTAATGTAGCCAGTGGCAAAGTGAGGACCAGGATCAGGGACGCCACCCAGATGGCGAGGTGTGCTGTCTGCCACACGCATCTAGCTTTAAAGCCTTGTTTTTTGTTTTTTGGGTTTTTTTACTGGGGTGGGAAATGACTAAAAACTGCCACAATTACTTCAATAAAATTATACTTTTACTCAAAATTTAAAACTTAAAAACAACTTCCATTTTCATTAAAAAAATACTAACCTGTTTTTTGTCTTTTTTTTTTTTTTTTTTTTAGTGTTTCCAATGCATTTCTAGATAAGGGGGAGTTTTACATAGGCTCTAAGTACAAGAAAGCTGTGTACCGGCAATACACCGATAGCACCTTCCGAGTCCCAGTGGAGAGAAAACCTGAGGAAGAGCACCTGGGGATTCTAGGTAGGTTCACGCACCTCATGTCAGAGGGGCGGCAAGCCATGTCCCTGGATTCTATTTTCCTTTCATATATCACAGTTATTCAAATCAAAATAAAAGGTTATTCAGTAAAAGAGAAGCCTATGCTTATTGAAGAGTATAGATAATAAAATATTACTCATTTCTGTCAGAAATAATGCATTATTGCTTATACTGGTGAACTTTTATGTATTTGGTATTTATCAAGTGAATTAATGAAGTTTTGGTGAAGTTCCTAAGAAGCTGCTTCCTAATGAAATTCCTACCCAAATTCTCCCTTTTATCCTCTCTCTCTCTCTCTCTCTCTCTCTCTCTCTCTCTCTCTCTCTCTCACCGAGCCATTTAATTTTTAAATTAAGATGTAAATGGTTAATTACAAGAACACCCCCACACACGGGAAAGTGAGTGTTACCATACACAGGCAATGGAGATGTTGCCCTGGACTGGTCAGGAGCCACCTGAAGACAAAATGCCTGACTTGACCACACCAGGCTTGGAAATGATCTCGAAAACCACCTGACACCTTCACCCCCCCTCTCTCCCTAACATCAGAGTTTCCCTGGGGCTTGGTTATCCTCAGCCCCTAGAGCAAGACACCCAGAGGAAAATGGCATTGATGTCGGATGGCAGAAATTCTACCAGACAGAAAATGGTTGGGATTGGCTAGGGGGCAGGATGGAGAGGGGCAGCCCGTCCTGTCAAATAAGAACCGTCCTAAACTCACGCTCAGGAAGACCCCTGGGGGGACCAGCTCCCCAAGATTAGGCACTACCTCTAGAACTCTGGGTAAGAGATTTACCATGGTCTCCAGGATGACCCCTGGTCATCAGCTCCCCTGATGAAGCACTACCCCTGGAACTCTAAGTAAGAGCTTTACTGTGGTCTCCATCTTTCCTGGAAGCCATTGCTGGTATTTTTACCCCAGAGCATCTGGTATGGGTGTAAATCTATGCTGGTACTAGCTCAAAGCCACAGGGGAGATCAGAGACCGCCTCACAGTGGGAAAGTCACTTGGTCTCGGCTTTATTACTAAGTTAGAAGTTTCCATCTGGCAGGGGAATAAGCCACTCTTCCTTTCCCTCTCACCAGGCCCACAGCTTCATGCAGATGTTGGAGACAAAGTCAAGATTGTCTTTAAAAACATGGCAACAAGACCCTACTCCATACATGCCCACGGGGTGAAAACAGAGAGCCCCCTGGTGACTCCGACACTGCCAGGTACTCACGGGGAGGAGCACCTTAGGGACACAGCAGCCTCTCCATGGATGGCTACTGTCACACAGGCATTTCTTCCAAACGAGTGTGACCTGAGGAAGTGAAGCAGGAGGTGGGGGCTCAGAGGGGACACGAGGAGTGTGTCTGCATGTGCACCGGTGTCCAAGCATGTGCTCCTACCAGGGCAAAGGAGCCAACAGGGAAGCAGGAAGAGGCTGCAGAGCTGCAGATCCTCCAGGGGAGTGCCAGACGCTCCCCCAAGCTCAGCTAGGGCATGCCTCAGGTGGCACCGACCCTACTACCTATGGCTGAGGTGTGTGGGCCTGTCTCCCAGATAGGGTCAGTAGGGCCAGAGGTTGCCGCTTGTCATTTTAACTGCCCCCTGTATCTAGTCCAGTACCCGGCATGACCTAGCTCAGAAGATGTTTTCTTCCGTTATTTGTCAAATTGGCTTCTAGGAAAAGGCCATTTTTTTTTTTCGGTCATTTGGGAGTGCTCAAATACACCATACGAGAAAAGGAATAATTGCTCTGCAGAGTTGCTCTTGCAAGTTTAGTGGGAACAGAAATTTAAAAACCCTGCCCTGGTGGTCCTCCCTCTCTTCCCCGGGAGGCGAGCAGATCGGAGGGAGCTAAATGGGGAGCAGCAAGCACTGCTGTGGAAGGCCCAGCAGGGTGAGGAGTCCCGGGTGCTGTTCTAGGGCCGTCAGGAGGGCTTCTTTGAGGAGGTGACATTGATGGGGACATCTAAATGGCATGAGGCAATGGTGCCCAGGTAGTTGTAGGGAAGACCCAAGGCCCCCGAGATGGGAGATGGGAGTGTGCCTGGCCTGAAAACAGCAAGCAGCCCAGAGGTGAGAGCCGAGCAAGCAAGGGACAGAATGTGAAGCAGGGACAGTGGGGCGGGACGGAGGAGGGAGGACCAGGAGGCCGTGACTAAGATGGAGAGTCTATATTCTAAACACCTGTGCAAGGATCTGAGCAGAAGAAGGATGACTGACATCTTTTAAGGGGCGTTCTGGCTGATAGGTGGGCAGGTGACTCTTGGGGCAAAGGCAGCATCAGGGACCAGTGAGAGAACTTGTTTGATAATCTGGGTAAAAATTCTACCCAATCATCATGATTTGGAACAGAGGAGAGCAGCTGAAAGGGTAAGAAGTTGGGGTACCAGTTTGATTTTCAAGGTGCTGCTAAAGTGGCCAAAAAGGGGGCAAGAGGGAGTGTGGGGGAGAGAAGAGCCAGGGAGGACTCAGGTTCTGAGCATCAGCCATGGGAAGAAGAGGGCCGTGGAAGGAGGAAGGGCTGTGGAGAAGGAAATGCTACTGTGCAGCTTGTTGCAATAAGTAAAAGCAGAGGTGACAGTAAGATGTTCAGGTGGTGAATCGACACTTTATATTTACAATAAAATTTTCGACATAAGAATGGTTAAAGAACAGGAATTAAGTCTTCCACATCCCTCAAGACCATGCTCAGGTCTAGCCTGCTCGCCTAGTAAAGGTCTGCAGGACTCTGGCAGGTTAGAGTCCGATGGCATTTTTAAATATGCGAGTAAAGAGCACAGTCAGGATTGGTAGAGGGCACGGGGGAAGTTCAGGTCCAGGAATAAGGACACAGGAAGCCTTGAGGTGACTGGAAATGGAGATGGGACTGAAGAAGAGCCTGGGGATGTGGGAAAAGGGTAAGGGTTTGGCAAGGTAGGAGGATCTTCAGGGTGTCAAGGACCAGAATGTGGTTATGCCCTGCATGGGACAGGAGTGGCAGAGGAGCCTACGATGAGACAGATGGGACAAGACAGGAGGCCAGCAGGACTTTGACAAGTCGGAGGCACAGGAGTAGGGGGGCTGATCCTGAATCCTGGGCTCAGTGAGGAGGTGGTGGAGGAGAGGGAGAGGAGGGCCACACAGAGCCAAGGGGGTCGAGTAGGACAGTCACACACAGACATGACCCCAGGGACAGGGCTGCCCCTACGGGACAGCCATTTGGCATCTGAGGGAAACATTTCAAGCTAAGAGGAGTTGCAAAGCTTCTTCAAATGAGGATACTGGAACAGCCCCCCACCCCCTCCTGTCTGAATGACAGCAAGTGTATCATCAATAGTTAGTTCCTAGTTGACACACACAAATGACATGAAATATATCTAACAGTCAGTCTTACAACTAAATGCCTGCAAGGAGTTTTGAGTAGTATTACCCTGACATTCCAGTTCCTGGGTTACTACTATCAAGACTTAACTCCTGATTAATTTAGGTGAAATTCGCACTTATATATGGAAAATCCCAGAAAGATCTGGAGCTGGCACAGAGGATTCGCCCTGTATCCCATGGGTTTACTACTCCACTGTGGACCAAGTTAAGGTAAATGTTAAGTCATTTGGTGTTTTGTGACAACCCCCCCCCAAATACACACAATTGAAGGAAGAAGAGTGTTTTCCTGGGCTCAAGTTCTATGTTAAACAGGAAAATAAGTATTCAATCTGTATTAGTTTGGTTTATTTGTTTGTAAAGATAGTTATAATTACCCTAGTATTGCCGATTATGGAGAATACTTATAGAAATTAAGTTATCGATCAATGTTGTATTTTATTTCCCTTTTGGCTTGAAAATACGTTGAATTCAAAGAGCTGGTACATGGTTTCAGCACTCTTTCCAACCAGATAATATAAAAGCTGATCTCAGCAGTCATTCACAGAGTAGCTGAAAGTGCTGTTTGATGAAACATTTCAACATTTGTTCAAATATTTGTTTTGTAGAAATAAATCTCTAGTCCAAATCTTTTCTGAGTTTTGGTGCTGCATACTGGGCACCTCCCCCAGGGCCTTAACACTCAGCCACTCTAACATGAATGCTGGGTCCTTGGCCTCCTTCTGCATGTTCCATTGTTATCAGCAGCAGCACAGGCACCCAGGCCACAGATCTGGTGCAGAGGTGCTGACTTACCCAGCACCTGCCTCTCCCTGGCTCACCCAGACCATTCACCCTCCCATCCCCACCTAGAGCTCAATCCATTCCTTCTCTCCATCCCCATAGCTCAGGTTCTTGAAACTTGTCTCAACTACACCATGGCCTCCCAGCGTCCAATCTCTTCCCCTCCAAGTCTTCCTTTGCTTCACCTAAATGACTTAGAACAAATTTGCTGCCATTTTCTGTCTAGTTTTTCAGTGGTTTCCAATGATTCACAAGACAGAACCTTAAGTTCTCTACCGTGATTCAGCCCAAAGACCCTTCAAGACCTATCCTGCCATTTCAGACGCCCAGCCCAATCCAACTGCTCACTGACGTGGCGTTGGTGGTCTCCCTCCCTGTGTGCATCAATCTTCACTGCAGCTGAGACTACTCCCATGTCTACTCCATTTCTTCCATTTCTGTTTCCTTTATTAGAATGAGTTCCTAGAGGGCAGGAGCTTTGCCCACTCTTCCATGGATTTATAGTGAGTGGCCTAAAGTGTGGCTCATATTCATGAGTTCATGAGCCCATGGTGTAAACAAGCCCACACTGTTCATTTAGGATTCTTTTAAATCACTGAGCATTAGCTGAGCCAATTTTTGGCCTCTATGCACATCTCTACTTCCATACCACTCACATAACCACCCTGTTGCTCACCACTGTTCCAACCTAACCACTTCACTGCAAAGTCAGTAAACTGGCATCGTCATGTTAGGCCAAGTCTACTAATTAAATGGGTCCTCCCCAAATTCCTGAGGTCAAGGTGGTAAGACCCCAGTTTGCTGAAACCTGACTTATATTCCAGAATGACTGAAGTTTCTGCTTGTCCCCAGGATCTCTACAGCGGATTGATTGGCCCACTGATCGTCTGTCGGAGACACTACCTGAAAGTATTCAATCCCATAAAGAAACTGGAATTCTCCCTTCTGTTTCTAGTATTTGATGAGAATGAATCTTGGTACTTAGATGACAACATCAAAACATACTCTGATCACCCCGAGAGAGTAAAAAAAGATGACGAAGAATTCATAGAAAGCAATAAAATGCATGGTACAGTATGATACATTATTCTAAAACAAATATCCTCATTTTCACCCTTTGTTTCTTTCAATTATAATTAGGTTGGAGACTATTCATTTATTACATTTTAGGTAAACTACTTTTTCCTCACTTTGTGAGGTAAAATTCTATTGAAGGGGACTATATTTAAAATCATTTACTAATTTTTCTCCCAATTCCAAAAATCTTATTCCCTTTTAATTAAATCCAATAGTAGGATTAAGGTTTTCTTCAGTGCAAGGTGATGAGAGAAGCATTAGTGTGACATAAGTGACCTTAAAATATCCATTTCCTTCATTTGTAGTGAAATGCATTCTATTGTATCCAAAAGACTCCTCCCCCCCATTCATCTAATATCATATTATCTGTGAAATACCTATCGGTTTAAAATATTCTACAAGGTAACATGCATTCACGTGCTTTCCCCAGCTATTAATGGGAGAATGTTCGGAAACCTGCGAGGCCTCACAATGCACGTGGGAGATGAGGTCAACTGGTACCTGATGGGGATGGGCAATGAGATAGATCTGCATACGGTGCACTTTCACGGCCACAGCTTCCATTACAAGGTAAGAGCCACTGGTGGTCTTCCTTCTTGCTCTGTTTGAATATGGCTTCACAGAGAGAAAATCTTTCCTCACATGTATCTATGAAAAATTCAAAGTTTCATCTAAGCATGGTGGCGCACACCTGTGATCTCAGCCACTCGGGAGGTGGAGGAAGGAGGATGTCAAGTTCAAGGCCGGCAATTTAGCAAGACCCTGTCACACACACACACACACACAAAAAACCTGACAAAAGGACTAGAAATCCATCTCAGTAGCAGAGTGTTTGCCTAGCATGTGTGAGGCCCTGGGTTCTGGGGGAAAAAAAAAAAAAAAAGGAAGTTTCAAAGAGTAAAAGGTATAGAAATTTCAATTGATACCAGGTCTTTGTTAACCTAAGTTTTCCTTGAAGTTTTGCTGAATTTTCATGGAGTTCCGCTCACACATTGCTCAGTAAGGCATTTGAGTGGAGTTGCTCTCAGGGAGGGCAGGAGTGTTCCCGTAATAAGCCAGAGAGCAGAGGTCAGGACCATCCTAACTTTTGCCCTACAGTTCAAAGTTCTGAATCTTAAAAGGCCTGGGTGAGCAAGGTCATCAGGCAGATGTTAAGCAACGTCCCTCCACCGCAATCCTACTTCTGTTCTCCACCCAGTGCTGAAGTGCTGATTTCAGCAGGAACCAATGGCCCTTTTATAATATTCTTTTTTTTTTTTTTGAGTTAATGTAGAAAATGTATGAACTACTAAAAAAGCACCTTGCAGAAAGTCTATTTATAATCTGCATTTTGTTTTACAATGATCTATCTCTAGTGGACTTTTGATTCTATCCTTGCAGAAATACACCCAACTCCTGTCTCCAGTTACGTCTCTGCCTGGACTGACCCTGGCCTGGGCGTCTCCATCAGCCTCCTTTTCTGCTTCCATTACTATCCTCCTTGCCCTAGAGTTTCATACACAGATGGTCTAGGGCAGATTCAGGCTACAGCGAGGTTGGGGCTGCCGGGCCACAGCCTAGTTCCTCTGTATAGCTCAAGTGCTATACAGAGGTGGGCCAGAGTCACAGTGCAGGAGGCCACAAGCAGTCCTGAGCTGGGCCAACACCATCTCATCTTTCCTCTGCACCCACTTGATGGCCCATGGTGCTGAGGGCTTACTAGAAACACACAGACCACACATCCCACGGTCTGGATTAAACACAGATGTGCAGGGACTCATTCCATTTTTCTAACATCCCCAGGTTCCCCAGTGGAAGACTGAGCCAACTCTTAATACATTATGTAATGTTTGTCATTTTTCTAATTAAGCACAGGGGCATTTATAGTTCTGATGTCTTTGACATTTTCCCTGGGACGTACCAAACCCTAGAAATGTCTCCCCAAACGCCTGGAATCTGGTTACTCCACTGCCATGTGACCGACCACATTCATGCTGGGATGGAAACCACGTATGCCGTTCTACCCAACGAAGGTAAATATGCAGCTGGAAATTCTAGAAGCCATATTTCATGATACGTAAAAGGCCTTTTTGCCTAAATACTCCACCCAATATGAAGAATTTGTGAATTTTATGCCCTGATTTCTTCCTTCTCTACCTCCAGGCAGGAATTTACATGGCTCAATTCCTGATAGCCAGCGCTTGAACAGCACATAGGCTCTAAGCTGGTCCCAATCTGATGCAGTATAATTGTCCCTGAAGCTGACATAAGGCATTCACCAAGAAGTGAACCATGATTTATGGAAGACACATTTAGAATTTAATTTCTGGGCAGAGGATGTAGCTCAGCGGTAGAGCACCTGCTCAGCTTGCATGAGGCCCTCAGTTCAGTGCCCAGCACTGCAAAACAAAAACAAAAGCACAACTTTTAACTTCTTTCCTAAAGGAAAACACTAACTTTTTTCTAAGTAATAGATCATCCTTAAGAGAAGTCTGGGAAACCTCCCCCACCCCAAAACAACATAATTTCCAACAGCCAATCAGACAGAGGAGCATCCTCTATGCTTCCAGGGAGAGGGGAAAGCATCACTGATTGTGAAAGATGCAGGAGAAAAAGTTAAATCCCCTGCTCCCCAATTCCTGCAGCAATCCCCCTACATAAGTGTACACACACACACACATACACACACACACACACACCCCACAGCAGGAAACTGAACAGAATTTTAATGTATATACACCAACAAAGTGTACAAAGAGTGAAATTTCTGCCTTATGGCTACAGGCTTTGGTCTTTCCTGGTTCAAAATTGGACACGGCAAACTCAACAGGGGGAAATTATGTAAAGAAAACAACTCCGTTTCCTTCTCAAAACCAGGATAAAAGGAAATATATAAATGGTTGAAAATTTAAGTCACTGAAAGATTAATCCTTAGTGCAAATGGAGTTTAATTTCTGCTCCAGGATTTTATATCAACACCTTCTGCCATGAAAGTTTCTTCTATGAATGTTCTTTTTATTATAAAGAGTGTTTAGTAATAATGCAAGAACCCGATAGAAGACAAGCCAATAAATTAAACAAAGCAAAAAGTTAAAAAGGCTGAGAAAAAAAATATATAGTCTTTAAAAAACGCTTGCCTGCCTGTAAACCACACAAAAGAGCATCCCACTGTGATGTCATGCACCTGGAGATGGCTGTTTCCACAAAGGAGAAGTCCTTAGGGAGAGTGTTGTCTGTCCTGTCAGTTACTATAGTCCAACTCCCCACCATGAGCAGCACACAGGGACCTCCTGTGACAGATGTAAAAGGTACTTTTCTTACACTGTGACTTTTCCATGATAGATAACCTTTCAGATGCAGATCACAGGTTGAAAAACTTACTGGGTTTGAAATTCCCTAGACAGGGACTGGATATTTGTATTGCTAGCCAAGTACCCCAACCTAATACAATGCTGTGCTTGGTGACTATTTCACATATTCACAAAATGACACAAAATTTCATGAACTTTCTTTGGACATACAGAAAAGCTGCAGGAGTAGGACAAAGAATTCCCAAACGCCCTTTATCCAGATCCCCAAATGTGAATGCTCTATACAGCTTTATTTCCCAATTTCACCAATCATCCTGTGTTCTTTACAGAACAAGAAACCCCACTCATGTCTCGCACTGTTGCCACTTCCCTGAGGCCCCTGACACCTCTCTTACAGCAGCTCCTCAGACTCTGTCTTTCACAATCTTGATGCTTTGGAAGGCCAGAGGGCAGTCAGTGCACCCATCACCCTTCATCTCAGTCTGTCTGGTGCCTCCTGGTGCTTGTGCTGGTGTGTTTTTGGTGACCTTGTTACAGAAGCTTGCTGTGTTTTCCTCAATGCCCCATATTAGGAGGCACAGGATATTGAGTTGTCACATTAATGGTGAGGTTACCTTCGAAATGACTGGTTAGGGTGGTATCTGCCAGGTTTCAGCACAGTCAAGTTACTATTTGTCCCTTTATAATTAATAAAGATCCTGTAGGGAGCAATGTTTCTTTAATTATTCCTAGAATAAGAGATTTCTAAACATATGAAAAGTAGAAAATATAAACGAATTAAGAATGATTAAGCAAAGTAATACTTTAGAATACATTTAAAGTACCATCTACTAATTTTTTAATCATATAAAATACACTATTTTAAATAATGTCTTAAAATTTCTTTTTCTATAGAAACCAAGTCTGGCTGAAAGAAATAATTTGGTGATAAGTGGAAAAATTTTAAAAAAAGATTCATAACAATGTATGTGAACATGTTAAATACAACATTGCTTTGGAATGGCTAAAAACATTAATAAAAGACTGAAAACATAAAATTCTGTGCATCTGTGGGGGAAACTGTGTTGCCTGCTACAGATAAAAAAGATCATTAAGATGTTAAAAAAAAAAAAAAAAAATCTATGACCAGAGAGCTGTCCCGGTGGTCCTCAAAGGATCACATGAAGCGTCCCTGACATGTTCCCAACCATCACCTTCCCATCAATGCTGACATCGTTTCTAATGAGCCAGTGGGCATGCAGGTACAAGCTGCAGAGGAAGAAGGAAAAATAAAACAAAAATAAAAAGATGCCAATTGGAGTTTTGTTGAATCCTTGAAAAGATGGTCAAGGGATATTACCTGGAATTGGGAAAGGTGAAGTTGAGAAACAATGCCTATGTCAAATCCAGGTAAAAACAAACTTAAGATAATAAAATATTGAAACCTTGCCACCAGGAGACAAGCTTCAGAATGTGGTTGTGCCAGGCAGTGGGCAAGCAGAACTTTTGTACTGTCTCAACTGGATTCAGTGAATACTCTCAATGAGCTGAACTTGGACTCAAAACTCCTTAACAAGAGGTTAAAAAAGAAGACAGACGTGACTATCATGATACAGTGCTTTATTGTCACAAATGCTCCAGCTGCAAGAGCAACAGGAGTATACATCAACAGGAAACAGATACAAGGCTTGGGCTGGAAAGCATGCATTCAACAAATGATGCCAACATCCAGACAGGAAGTGAGGTTTGTGAACATTTACTTCATCTGATGCAGAAAGAAACAGCATAGGATTTAAAAGTAACAAGAAGATAGAGTTGGAAATCTTTTACTGTGGCAAAACATTTACATCTTCCTCAAGAGAAAATTATTATTATTTTTTGAAAGTAACACAATAGAAAAATCTGGAAAAATCCAGAAGATAAAAATTCTGGTGCTCTAAAGTAATATTCAAATAAACTTGTAAAATATTTCCTCGAGTGTTCCTGGGATAGAAAAAGATTGTCATGTCTCCAAGAACAAGAAATCGGTGGTGTTTTCTGGAATAAAAATCAGTATCCACTTTTAAATATGTGGCTTCCTTGAAGCATTCTTATGTCTTGAAGCTCTTTTACATTCTGGGCAATTAAAGGGATTCAGGTTATAAATTTAGAAATTAGTGGTTACCCACTACATGAAGCACCCTGAAAGAATCTGAGATATGTAAAAAATAAAAAAATTAAAAAAAAAAAAAAAACCCTTTGCTTGTATCTGTACCTGGCAATGAATTTTTAAAATGCAGCTTCATGTGCTACTTTCAAAAGACACTTCAAGTCAGTGATTTTTTGCGACTGCAGTAAAGAAGATAGGGCAAGAAGAATGCAGCAGTGCCATCTTCTGGGAGGACGTTCAAGAAATCCCTGAGCTCCAGTTCCATAGCGACGATGGAAAGCACTTCTGTTATGGGAAAGAAAACCTGTTAGAATGGAAAGCCCATCTTTAATCTAAGTCTCTTAATCACTCATTCGATTAATCAGAAGCTGGTTCGGGAGACAAAATATTACGACTACAAAGAGAACAGTCTCCTAAGTCCACAGACGACTTTGTGGTTTTAACAACTTCTAACATCCTTTCTAGACTCCTCTGAAGTTGATTTTATATCAGCCCCATGGGATCTGGAGTTCCTCTTTCATTGCTGGATTACTAGGTTGTTTTTCAATAGGTTCCTATTGTTTTCTAAAGAGAAATGCGACTATCTGAAAATGGCCTTCTGTTAGCACTGTCCTGCAGGAAATATACATCAGATGTTTGCCAGGCAAGAAAACACCATTTCCAGTTGGATACCACTGCCCTAAATCAGTTCCTCTCCATTATGAGATTGTGACATTATTAATAAGTACAAATGTGCCTTTTTCATAAACTGCAAAGGAAGGTGCTCCAGTGAACATTTTCAACACGAAGGGCTTCTCATCAAGTGTATTTGTAAAGGTAAATGTGTGCTTTTGTGATTGTATTACTAGTTAAAAGATACACGCTTCCCTCTTCTAGAGAGAAGGGTGATGCTTAGGAGCAGTGTTCCCCATAAATGCCTCCTGGTCTCTGGCCCTATGTGCACTTCAGGCCATTCCTGAGTGTCCTCGTGTGCCCACTGCTTGCTCTACGTAAGAGCCGCTCAGAGGCATCTGCCCAACATTCAGCAATCTTAACCCTCGTCATGCAGAGGAGCCTCCTGCTGTTTTTGCTGAAAACTCATAAGTGCGGTGGAGCCATGTGGAAGATCCCTAGCTCTGGAATCAGACAGTGTAGGGAAGGAATCCAGATGTCAACCCACCTACTTGGTGAGTGACTTAAAGGGAGTTACTTAATCCTTTGAGTCCTGGTTTCCTCGTCTGTAATGTGTTTTTAGTTTGTGGTTCCTGGGGCAGTGCTACTGGTATTCAGCAGGCAGGGGCAAGGATGCTGCTGTTTAACATCCTCACGTGCACTGGGGACATCACACAAACAGACAATTTCCCAACCCTCAAAATGCCAAGGCTGGGAAAAGCTGCAGTAGAGAGAAAAATCGGCGCTCCAACACACCCTAGGAGTTCCTGGTACTCTCTTGCAGTTTTGCCCTACATTTCACTCTAGAGTGACTCTGGAACTTCTCATCAGTTCAGGGATAAAAAACTGGGTCACTCGCTAAGTGGCACACCTAGAACTCAATTCTAATTTTTCAGACTCAAATCCGGGACCTTAGTGTGCTTAGCTGCCGACAGGAACACCTCTAAGAAATGGAATTTCTTCAGGTACCTCCCCTTCCAATCAATAAATAGCTACAGGATGTTTCCTGTGGGAGAAACACATTGCTGCTGAGCAGAGTGCACACCATGAAATGCAGACAGAACGCTGTGCCAGCTCTGAGGCACTGCAATCCAATGATGGAAATCACACACGTGAGCACACACACAAACACTGGAGGAACAATTATGGGTAAGTTAGGGAAGAAAGCACATGGATGTGAGCCAGAAAGAGGCTTGACTAGATAACACTGTTGCAGAGGTGTGAAAATGGGGGACATCTGCAGGAAGGTGGGAAAGTGACCCACCCACGTGAAAACTATCTTAATTAATAGTGATTAATTATGTGATTAATTTTGATGCAAGTGGGGCAAAGCAATCAGACACCTGCCACTTCCATCTTCTGAAAATCAAAGCAGTCAGGGAGGAAGACAAAGAGTTGGTGGGAGGTAGCCTCCTCCTTCCCCTATCACAAACGTGCAACGTTTACTAAGTGGGATCTTCAGAAAAACAACATCTGATGGCCACTGGCTCTGCCTAATGTTTTAAAAATCTATTGCCTCAGCTAGAAAATATAATTCCAACACTGTCGATTTCTAATATTTCATGTGCATTACAATCAACATTGACATGACTTTTGTAGTCACGCCAACAAATAACTAGTAACATTAACACACAACAACATAGAAAATGAAAATGATATGTCCGTTAAGATTGATAAATGACTATGTATGAATGATGAAAATTCAAATTGACAACCTACGCTGTAAAAAACTGTATGATTTAGACATTCAACTTTTAAACACTGGAAGAACTCATCCTTCTTCAATACTTAAAATTGTGTTTGTTAATCTTAGCTTCAGACATGAAGTAAATTAAACACTCAGATCATTAATAAAAGATGTAATTGTCTTCATGAAGTTGTGAATTTCTATAACTGTAATAATTTGTTGAGCATTTGAAAAGATTAACTTAAAATACCAGCTCTGTGAGTAGAAGAGATAAATGAATATCAAATGTGATCCGGGCACACAGATGCTAAAAATAAGCTCTTCCACTTGAAAAATTCCCATGAGAAACCTAGATAAAGTATGACTCCAGCAAATTTAAAATTGAAACTAAAGTCTACGATCAAGTAAAAAAAGTACTTTTACCTTTCAGTGATGTCAGGTAAAGTTGATACTTCTCTCCACCACATTTTATTCTCTGACAAAGCTCAGGCAGCAGTTTTTTCCACCACAGAGTCTATCTTAGAAAAAAATGAATCAATTTTAGTTTGATGCATTTTACACTTAGCTTTCCAATGAGAAAAGACTGTGCAGGAAGGCACGGGGCACCATTACATCATTTGGTTAAGGAACTCAATTTTATGATAAAAGGAGTTATTATCCACAGCCTGTCTTCTGTTTAAACCAAAAAAAAAAAAAAAAAGAGCTTTAAAACTTGATATGCACCCATGCACGTGGCTATTTTCAAGAAGAAGCATAGACATGTCCTGTTACCATGTCTTAGGTGACAAGGAAGAAGAAAAAGTATACTAGAGTCTAAAACTCTTCTAATTTCTAAACTTAAGACTTTATCACTCAGAAAATATTTTCCCATCATGCATTATGTTTCCCAAATCTTCAAGCAATCATCTATTTAATCTCCAAACAAGAGGTTTCCAAAGATGCTAATGCATCATCATCATCATCCTGCATTTTAATAGCATCTAACAGTATCTAACCCATGCCCTTAAACATCCAGGTTCACTGGATTCACGCGGCCCTGTGAAGTCACAAATGTCCCTGTAATGCAGACACATGGCAACAAGATTATCAACGCACACTCTCACGATCAAGCCTGAGAACAGAATCCAAAAGCTTATACCCGGTTCTCTTCTTTCAGTTCGTGATTAGCGTATGGAATGACCGCCTGCGGGCATCTCTCCAGCAGCGTGTCCAAGCACTGCTCATACTCTCTCAGGCGAGTACGACACAGAACGTGGACACTGAGGCCAGCAACAGTGTCTTCCGAGAGTGGCTCCAAGAAGGGAATGATGGAAGCTATGTCAAATGAAGGACCACAGATAAGAGACTAGGAACAGAAAAGCAAAATGTTATGGAGCAAGGCATCCAGACACTAAAACACGACCTACAATTTTTATCAGCTAAGGAATCAGATGATATCTCATTTCCAGTGGAAATACTGTCAGGGCTAGAATTCTCAGAATTCTCTTAAAGAAGAAAATAAAAGCAACAAACCTCACTTATCATAAAAAGAAGAAGGACGCCATTTAAGAACACATGAATACAGTCCTTATTTAATAAATATTAGTGGGCTGAAGTGTTAAATATTTTGTATCTGTACCTCCAGTTTAAAGAAATAAAGATTTAATAGAAAATCATCACTGTTAAAGTAAAATAATTTCATTTATTTGAATGGACAGCAAATTAAGACTGATAGGAATTTTCTAGGACTCTGTCCTAAAGAAATAATTAACAGACAGTTGTTTGCACAAGCATATTCTCAAAACCAAAAAATCTCAAGAAACCCAAAAATTCAACAAGGAGGGATGTTAATAATGGTACAGTCATGTTGTCAAACTTTAGATAGTCATCAAAATGACGTTTCCAAAGGCTAGTTAAGGAGAAAGTGCTCATGATAAGATGATGAGTAAGAAAACCTCATTTTGAGATTATGCTCAGAGCATGCCCAGCTCTGTACTATCCACACAGGTATATGCAGCATGGAAGTATCTCTGCACGGCCCTGCACCAAAACGCACATCAGCTAACTGGATGGGAAAGCAAAGCTTACTTTCTGTTCTCTTTTCATACTTCCCTGCATTTTCCAAATTTTTTTTAATGAGACACACTAAAATAATAAATTTTAATATAAAGCTAAATAAAATTTAGTATAAAATTTAATATAAAAAAGCTAAAGCACTTATTTAGAACTTGGTCATTTAAATCGACACCATTTGCAAAAAAAAAATTAAAAATAAAATAAATAAATCAACACCATTTGCCACAAGCTGAATGTCAGGGAGCAGGTATTTCAGTATTGAGAACTCTACTAAGATATTATTATTCAGCAACTTTAGCAGTATTTTACTTTTAAAATGTGTAAGTATTTTTATTGTACCACCAAGATAATCTTCATTTCCCCATCTCCTATAAGAGAAATAGTCATGTCTTGATTTCTCCTCCCTGTATCTTTTTTTGCTACAGCATCTTCTCAGAGTTATGAGAGAATATGGAAAGTGAACTATCTGTTCACAGTTAGCATGATTATTTTATTCCAAATATCTACCAAAGAATGGCCAGGAAAATAAGGTTGGTATCTTTTCTTCTGTAAGTTTAATAAATAATTCATTTGAATAATTTCCTAACAATAAAATGGCAAAGATGAAATAAGGTAATAATCACCCACTCATAGGATCTCCCAATATGGAAGAAAATGGACATATTTCTATACTGGGTCCTTGATTACCTGGCATTTAATACAATTACAAATATGTCATTACTGTGTATGTTGTGGGAGGTCAAGGCCCGGTGCTGCCCACCACATTTACAGTCTATGCTCATGTGACGAACAAAAGTTGAGGCTAAGAAGCCTCTTTGTCACAAGAGACAAAATCTTTAAGGACTATAAATAACTCCATCTCTGGGGAAAACACAGCTCTATTTGGAGACTGAATATAAGCGATATGGTCTCTTGAGCTTCCTTCCCCAACCTCTATCCCCAATTTGACATTTGGTTGTAGCATCAATAACCACGCTTACACCAGTTCCCAGAGCTTAAATCAGGGATTGCAAACTCAAAAGCAGAAAGGGGTCGACCAGAGAATGAAAATGCATAAAGAGATCTTGCTACGAGGAAAGTAGACACAAGACTCTCAGCTCGGAGACGGAAAACATGGAGATACATCAGGCAGACAGAACACCAGAAGCAATGCCCAGGGACTGGCCACTAGCAGGCTTCAACTCTCAGGCCTCAGGGGTAAAAGAGTCCTGGATTGCCGGTTCTGCTGAATTTGAAACTTAGAATTACTAATATGAAATCTTAATTTTTCTCTGAGGGCAAGCGACATTGGACAAAGAAAACAACTGTGGGAATTATAATCAGTCCCTGGGCCACTGAACTATGTTAAATAAATCATAAATAATGCAGCCCAGCCTGAAATGAAATGCACACTTCATTTCTCATTTCCAGTGGAAATACTGTCAGGGCCAGAATTCTCATGGGAGGATCTACGGTGTCTAACCATGGTGCTAGTTTTTGAAGATTCGTTTAGAAGCCAGGTAAACTGGTTACCTTGAGTTGTTTCTTATGAACTAGTGTGAGCAGTCTAAATTGTGTCAGTCATGCTAAAACTGGATTACATCCATAAAAACACCACTACGTATCTGTCACACTTTCATTTAGAGTGTTTTCAAGTGCACCCTGGAGATGAGAATAGTGGTCACTTCAGCTGGCAGAGCTTGCAGTTCCAGGCAGAGGCAGGAGTGCTGCCAAAGCCCCTGAGTATGCTCACTATAGATCCATGGATTAAAGGGACACTTGACATCTTACCAAATTTAAATCCCACACGGTACTGCTGTGTGTGTGCATTCAAAAGGATAAGAGGCATTTTAACTTACTTGTAATTTTGAAAGGTCTTCTTTGTAATTTTTATCAGCTAAGGAATCAGATGATATCAAGACATCAACCCACGGGTAGATTAAGCCAAAGTGACTGCAGGCATTTATCTAAAAGATAAAAGAAATTTATCATAAACACCTAACGACAAAACAAAACCTTCCTTTGTCCAGTGATTGTTAACCCTCTGCCACATCACAGGTCAGGTACACACCAGCCTAGGAACAGGAAGTCTTTCCCAAGTGCTTTGCCTTCCCCAAAAAGAGTTTCAGCCTACTGCTTCCATGACAAATAAGCTGCACCTAAATATTCCCTTAATCTTATTTTTTTAAAATAATTTTTAGTTGTAGATGAACACATCTATTTTATTTATTTATTTTTATGTGGTGCTGAGGATCAAACCCTGTGCCTCACACATGCTAGGCAAGTGCTCCACCACTGAGCTACAACCCAGCCCCATATTTCCTTAATTTTGAACTTTAAAATATTCCAAGGGGGGGGCGCTGGGTTTGTGGCTCAGAGGTACAGCGCTCACCTAGCACACGTGAGGCACAGGGTTCGATCCTCAGCACCACATAGAGTAAAATAAAGACACTGTATCCACCTGTAAGTAAAAAATAAATGTTTAAAAAAATATTCCTGGGGCTGGGATTGTGGCTCAGTGGTAGAGCGTTCGCCTAGCACGGATGAAACCCGGGTTCGATCCTCAGCACCACATAAAAATAAAGGCATTTCTGTTGTGTCCATCTACACCGAAAAAATAAATATTTAAAAAAAATATTCCAAGGAGGTACTCTCTAGCAAAAATTTCAAAACAAAACAAAAAAACTGCCTTAAGCTAATTATACTGAAAAAGAATTAAAGGAAACTTGGAAATAATTTTCATCAATACATTTTATTTGAGAGGCAAGACACCATCCATAAGTTATCAAGACAATTCCCATGGAGGTCCCCTTATTCAAGAAGCTGGTGACTTTTTCTGTGACCCCCACATTAGCCATGGCATCCATGAGAGGCAAAGGGGCTGGAAGGGAGGGAGCCAGGAGAGTAGAAGGGCTGTTCTGGTGGCCTGGAATGCTGCAGGCCTGGACTGTGCCCCTGACAGGAGCATGCCCAGTGAGGCAGCCTCCCGCCCAGGCCTTCTGAAGCTCCTCTCCCACTAGGGAGAGCCACAGAGGTCCCTTCTCTGTTCCACTATTCATTGATGACCCCTGCTGAGGAGGAACAGGCCTGGTGGTTCTGGGAAAGGTCCTTCCCAAGTGCTTTGACTACCAAGATGTCACTGCCAGTACCTAACAAAGGAGCAGCAGGGATATTTGTTGGAGTGTAAAACTATTTAAAACCTGGGCAACGTCAGTCAAAGACAGTTTTAAGTGTGCTTTTAACTCCAGCTTAATTAAATATCTAGTAATAGAACACTAGGTTCGATTCTGAATCATTAAAAATAAGGCAGCAGATTACTGTAATGTGCAATATGAGCTTAATGTAAGGTACTATGCCCTTGTCTTACCAGATCCTCTGATGTTTGCAACGGGGTAGTGTCAGGAGGCTGCCTCTTAGACAATCTCCAGATGTACTGTGATGTGAGCTTGAAACAGAGTTCCTGAAGTACCACGTCTGGGAGACAGGCCACTAATTGAGCTTCCCAGAAGTCTACCAAGAGCTGAGGAATCGTATCTTCGTCCTGACCACAGAGCACCTTGAAAACAGTGAAAAAAGGCCATGCCCTAGGTGAAAACAATACTGACCAAGCCACCCCTGGGCTATCACACCTCACGTGAGCCACCTGATTAACACTTTAATCAGCTTTAGCACACAGACAATGTTTAGACATTTTTAATAAGAAACAGGTTCTAGGTTGCAAGAATGGAGTTAACTTACATAAATTTATACTTTAATGTAAACTAATTAGATTTGCTTTTTCAATAAACAAACGAAAAACTCACTTCTCTTATTCCGCTTCCCCTTTTCCACTGATTTTTATCAAACCATCAGAAACATTACTTTTTAAAAATATTTTTTAGTTGTAGATGGACACAATACTTTATTTTATTTGTTTATTTATATGTGGTGCTGAGGATCGAACCCAGTGCCTCACACGTGGGAGGCAAGGGCTCTGCCAATGAGCCACAGCCCCCACCCAGAAACATTACATTTTTAACGTGACAAACCTTAAAGAAAGAATCAGCCTCTTCAATTCCGATTTTGTTGTTCTTCTGCAAGCCCAGGACCGCAGCCACGAGCAAGCCAGGCTGCGTCTCTCTCAGGTGCGCTGCAAGCTGGGTTGGAACCATCTGTCCCTTCCTCTGTTGAATCAGCAGCCGAGGTTCCAGAATGAAGCCACACGCCAACTTCATCTTCAGATGAAAAAGGAATTTAAGAACGATGTGTGCCCTTCATTCAGGTCATGCATCCTCAGATACGCCCTGGCGCACTCAGGAGTCAGGGCTGGGCTATTCATAACTGACTTTAATCATAGTTTTTTCTTAACTACAAAGACTAGTTTCTATCTCAGGAAGGACATCATTAACTGTCTCACAGAAGCTACTAATGTTTAATTTTAAGATATTTAAGTTTTGTAGAGCTTTCCATTTAGATCTACTTAATTCGGAAAAAAAAAAACTAAAGTTTTTTCAAAATTATGGAAAGAAAATTTATTTTCTTAGAAGGCTTCTCTTCAAAGCAGATGCCCTAATGTTTTCACTTTATCACAAAAAAGCAGCTCTTTTCATGTTAGAGACCAGTCATACTGTGGGCATCTGAGCAGAGTCAGGCAACAAGAACAGCAGCCTGCGCGCACAGGTTACCAGGCTATGGGCTCACGGCTCACTCTGCCACCACCCACGACGTGATCACGGACAAGGTGTTGAAGCCCTGTGTCCCAGCTGTCTCAGCCACTCACAGTTATAAGGGCATCAACTTCATGGCATTAAGAATTGAGTAAGATGACACATGCAAGGGGCCTGGGACATCGTAAGAGCTCAAATAACACTACCTCTAATTTTCTTCCCATTACCATTTTTGACTCATGAGCCCAAATGATCTCTTTTCCAAGGCAGTGACTTTCTTCTTTCGATGTACCAACTGTATGTCCATCCTCCCTAAAGTCACCCTTGATTTTCCCAAGGGGAGGCTATCTTTGATCTACTAATTCCTAGGGCTTAGAGTTACTCTCCTTTTGCTATCCTTAAATACACACCCTCTGCTCCATTTTCAGTGAGCACACCCTGTCTCTCACACCAGATCAGACTGCTGGTTCTGGGCAGAGCCCCCAGAGCCAAGCACAGTGCTCTGGATGTCCTCAATACTGAGCCGAAAGGTCTCTGCACACCCACTGCTACCATTTATCAGTTGAATTTTTTTCATTTGCTAGAACCAAGGTCCCACTTTCTCTTCTAATATTATGTCTATTTTCCATTACAACTAAGAAAATATGAGCTAAAAGAAGCCAAAGAGAGCAAAACACCTCAAGACTACCACCTTCAGCCTGCTATTAAGCCTGCTGTTAAGGCCAGGCAGGCTCCGTACCTCCGAATAGCTTTTCATTTCATCTCTGTACATGTCGAGATTTCCCATTTTCAGAGCCACTGCTGCTTTGGTCAGTGTCACTAGGATTGAGGCAAATCCATAAGTATCCAACTTGTTCAGGTAGCTCAAGGCAGTTAAAGGATTAATATTCTTCATGGAAGGGCTGCAGAGAACATGGGGCAGTTGCTTCGGCTCAGTCACGTGAAACATCTGAACCACTTTTGCTGCTAATTCCTTTGAGGAGCACAAAGAATAAAAGGCCATTCAGCGAATAGAAAGCAACAAAATCAGCAAATACACGTGTGTGTATGCATGCATGAATGTGTGTGTGTGTGTGTGTGTGTGTATAAGAACTTCAGAATTCCTAAGCGCTGGAAGACCTACGTGTACACCAAATAGAGACAAATATAGCAATTAAAAATAAAATTATAGTATTATGTTATGATTAAAGAAGAAATGATTCAGATACATGGGAGACCTGAGATGAAGTGATCTCTTTGCTGAAAGCTAATGAAGAAAAAGCACTGAAATACGCACTGGAGATGTGACCAACATTTCTAATTTTAACAGGAGTTCAGAGGAAGAAAATAAATGTTTCACTAAATGACACTTAAAAGTCTACAATAAAAGACTACAGCATAATTAAAAATATACTCAGTGAAGTAATTTCTGAGAAAATTTCATCTCTCTCAAATAATTTGGTATCACAATTTCCAACTATACTCAAAACACATAAGAGGCAAAACAAAACATAGCAACAACAACAACAAAAAAAACCCTTTATGTTTTAAGGTCACAAATCTGAGTTTGTAAGTGAAGCTTTGGACCCCTGGAGAATGGAGTGACCAGAAGGGGGGGAGGACAGTAGATGAGGATCAGGGCAGGGCCACACTGTTACTCTACAAGACGAGCTGCCATCACCAGGCAGGTCCTCAAGCACCACATCTCCCTCTCTTCACACTGACGAGGTGTGAGAAATGGCCCAGAAGGTCTTTTCCAAGCAAGAAGACAAAGGTACATCACTTTTTTTAAGAGAAGAGAAACAAAGAGGAAAATGTTTGGAACTTGCCTTCTAAATTATATGATACAGAATAAATTACTAAAATGAAAAGTGAAAAATATTTGCTATAACTAAATAAAAGACAATATTCACTTCACTTAGTTCTTCATCCAGGTTTTCATAAAGTGAATGATTAATATAAAAGATTAATCCCTTCTCGTATTTCTGTGGTTCACTGTCCACTGCCCAGTCCACACGCGCCAAGACTTCAGCCATGGTCAAACCAGACATCTTATAGTACGGCAAGGCCAGGTGGGAATGCTGGGTGTCCAGTCTGAGGGGAGGAAAGAAACACCACAGTTTGTGGGTTGTAAGTCTGTACGTCCGACCATGCCAATAATAACACAGATCACGTTTCCAAAGACATTAATTGCAAATGACATCATGAACTGGAACAGACTCCTGAGTTTTACTTTACAAGTCAGTCTAACCAGTGTAGCTTCTTTTTGCATGCTTATAATCTGGAAAAAAAGTAATTCATTAGATGAATTTTAATATTCGTGATGTGTCTATCTCTAAAAACAATGGTCTTCACAGGTAGGCAAAGTCTGTTTTATCAGTTTCCAATCACTCACGGGGGTCACTCTTCATCGCAGGCTCCCCTTCTGACATCACAAAGCACTGACTACTAAGACTAAAACCACAGCCTGTCCTGCTGACACCTCTCCCTTAGCTCACAGACAGTAAGCAAGCAATGGGGTGTTCTCACTAGCCATGGCCCCCAAGGCCTGAAAACAACCTTCAAATGTCCCACGTCATGTGGTGGAAGACTCATAGCTTAAGGCTTACTGCTTATCTAGCAAACTGTGATTCTTTCAAGACAGGAAATGGGTCACATTCATCTCTGTATCTCTAAGCCTGGTACCCAGCATGTGCTCAATAAATGCTTGTGAAGTAAGTGAAAAATGAACCACCTCCTCTCACATGTCCCCAGTTTATCAGGTAACTACCAGAGATGAAGCAGTTGGCAAGCACACCCAAAACGCAAGACAGCTTCTGCAGCAAGGTTGCTAGAGACGTCACTAACCTGCTGTAACAGTCTCCGAGGTGCCCACAGCTTTCTTTAAATGCTTCCAAAAGCTCTGCTTTCTCTCCAGGTTCTAGCTGGCCGGCATCCATCAGGGCTGCCCTCACCAACAGATGAGCCTCGCTGAGGAGGTGGATGCAGCTCTGGGTTTTTATGGTCTTGTAGGTGTTGCTGTAGTCGACCTGAAGCCCAGATGACAAAGTCAATGCTCTAAAGAAAGACACCCAAAAGGCCCAGTTCTGAAGAATATCTATTTTACAACTATATATTTTATTAACAATATTAATTTGGGGACATATTAAATGCTTTTTTTTTAGATAGAGAAAGAGAGAGAGAATTTTTTTTTAGTTTTCAGCGGACACAACATCTTTATTTGTATGTGGTGCTGAGGATCGAACCTTGGCTGCACACATGCCAGGCGAGCACGCTACCGCTTGAGCCACATCCCCAGCCCAAATGCTTTTAAAAGTAAATAAATCAGTGGTTATGTATCTCTCAGTCAGCAGTTAGTTGATGTTTTCTTCCTCCACAATCCATGAGCCAGTTTAGTATACACATGCTTGATTGTAAATACTGCCTTGTTAAATAGCTTTAAGCATGACGAGGTCCAAAGAATGCTGTAATAGTAATAATGCAGATAACTCAGCAATGATTTGATCTCAATTTGATAAAACTAGTAAACATGTGAAATAGTTATCTTTTTTTTTTTTTTGAAGTTCTATGATTTAACCCTTTCATATTAAGACAGTGTCCCTCCCTGAGTTCCGACTGATGAGTTTAAGTTCAGCTCACAGTGGGCTCGAAACCCTCACCAGCCCATCCGAGTCAATAAGCAATCAGCTGGTCCAGAGGGAGTCTGTGACCTTCAATTAAGAAGAGTAAACAGGCAGGACAAAGCTGAGATGATCATCAGCATTAAACTGCTAGGGACACTGTTCAATCCCCAGAATCACAGAAAACAAAGCAAAACGAAAGCAGTCCTAGGCTTACTGATATGCAGTGATATCAAAGAGGTATTTTTTAAGAAAAAATGTAAAGCAACAAAGTAGGTAGTCTGCTTCCAGTCATGTGCTTTACAAAACAACACACGTGCTGACACAGCTGCACAGGATATCTCTGGAAATAAACACCAAACTGGGATATGATCACTGTGTCCGGGGAGGTCAAACAGGAGACCACAAGGGCCAACTGATATCATGTGTCCTTTGCTATTGTTTGAACACTTTTTTCTTTACTGTGTGAAGTGTTATTTATAAAATTAATTTCAAATGTCTGTCCTCAGCCAGAGCTTACTCATCTTATTCTGAGCTCTAGATCAACATTTCCAACTGCCCACTTGATTCCAACTCCCACATCTGGATTTCTCATACCTTCAATTCACTAAAGGAAAAAAAAAAAAAATCCAATGCATGCTCCCTCCTAAGCCACCCCACCAAAATGCCAGGGACAAATCAGGCAACACATTGACCAGATTACCAAAATTAATGTCTCCAGTGAGGGGCAGATGGGCATCCTGCACCTAGAGTTGTGACACCCTAATAAAACACACCATCTATGCAATATTCTAAGAATGCATCACCTGAATCTAATCATGAAAGAAACTCTAATAAAACCCAAAATGCAGAACTCTCTCAAATATAAAAAAAGGTAGAGGGGGAAAATCGTGTTTTTTCAAAAAATGTTAATGTCATAAAATAAAAAGAAAGGCTATACAAATATTCCAATCCAAAGAGGCTAAAGTGACATGATGATTAAATACACCCCCTGACCCTAGACTGCATCCTGGGCTGAAGGGCATTGGGGGTGCTTTTACACCATTACTGGATCAGTTGAAAAACCAGAATATGATCCACAAGCTATGTATTATATCAAGGTAAAGTTTACTGAAGCATCAGACTACACTATGGTTACACAAGAGAATATTCTGATTCTCAGGAAATATACCCTGATGTATTCAGGGACAAAAGGCTATAGGGTACTAAATATTCTTCCCAATGAATGGGAGCACAAGAGTATAAAGAGAAAGAGAAGAAAATGGGTGAAATGTTGGTGTGGGTGAATTTATGTGGGGAATGAACAGGTTTTCTCTGTATTAGTCTTATTCTTGGAATGTTCTCTAAGTTTGAAAATTATTTCAAAATAAAGAGTCATAAATGACAGGAAGCTGGACATGATCTCACACACCTATAATCCCAGTTACCCAGGAAGCTGAGGCCGGAGGATAACACATTTGAGGCCAGTCTGGGTAAAATAGGGAGAGCCTGTCTCAAAACAAAAGTCAAAAAAACGCAGGAGTGGGGTAGGCTGGAGATGTAGCTCAGTGGTAGAGCACCTGCCTCGCCTGACTGAGGCCCTGAGTTGTTCCTAGTACCACAAAAAAAAAAAAAAAAAAAATCATTAGGGATGAGCAAAAGCTGTTACTCTTAGAACAGGAATGAGGATGCTCGCTCCTGGCCCCTTCAAGGTCAATGGAGCTGCAGTGCAGGGGCTGAGTGCCCAGGACACTATGATGACATTCCAAAGAAAAAATAATGAAATAGGGATAAATGGTCTTAGGTTCTTTTCACCTCCATTCATGGTTCTTTTTACTAGGGTTCAAAGTCAAAGCCAAAGGCTATGGATGTTTAGACTGGCACATGATCCTCTTTGGAGAGTGGGATGAATAAAGGACTTTTGATTTTAATGAAGGGAATTTCTAGTTGCTTCTCACATGTCAAAACTGAAAACAACAAAGCCAAGAAAGATACACACTCCCCTGTCAGAGCCTGGACGCTGGTGTCTGTGGCATCCTGAATGCATGGTCATTAGAATCAATGTGTGATCATCGATTTCATTCTACATTTCTACAAATAAGAATCAAAAGTCTGAAAAAGTTACCATTTCTTTGTAGAGCTGCATTGGCGAGACGGTATTCACAATGTACAAATTCCACCCAGCCTCGACTGTGGGAGGTATTCTGTTCTTAACACTGGTATCCTTCCTAGAACTAAAAGCAAAACAAAGGATAAGAACTATAAGATAAAACATGTTATTTTTAAATGGTGAGTATCAGGTACCATATTGATAACCATGACATAACTTTCAGTATTTTCTTCAGTGCTTAGCTGTACAGTCGATCTTCACTGAACACTACTTCACAATACTACACAGGCCTACAGCATTCAGTAGTCTGTAACTATCATGTATGGATAACCCAGTTGCTTCCAATTCACTCTTCAAGTATGCTCAAATGAGCAATAAGCTCAAAACAACCAGCAAGACTCCTGCAGGCTATGAAAGTTCCTGTGCCTGGCTCTCTCCTGCAGGTGGCTGTCAGGAGTCAAGTCACAAGCCCTAGGCCATAAATCTAAAGAAACAATGTAAACACAAAACATTTATACTGCTGGGAAAATGCAGAATACTCATGATTTTAAGATTTAAAGCACAATATTATTAACTCTTGCTTTCACTGTGAGGCATTTTCTTCAATATAAAATATTTGAGAATTTTAAAAATTCATTTATTTATTTTTTTTTTTTTGACACAATGCCTTTATTTTTATGTGGTGCTGAGAGTCGAACCCGGATCCCGCCCATGCTAGGCGAGAACACCCATGCTAGGCGAGCACTCTACTGCTGAGCCACAACCCCAGCCCCCTAAATTTAATTTATTTATGCTTTTATAAGCGGTACTGAGGATCAAACCCAGTGCCTTTCATATGCTAAGCAAGCACTCTACCACTGAGCCACAACCTCAGCCCTATTTGAGAATTTTTGATCAAATGGATTTTCAAATAAATTAAAATTTTAAAAATCATTTAAAAATACTTTAAAAATGTCAAATGTGTATCATTACAAATCGGTTCTCTTCTCACCCTAAAGCTTTTAGGATCTGTCAGTCTCAGTCTATTGCATGCATGCTTAGAATGTGACCATATCCTGCTAGTGGAACAAAGTATAGGCACAAACAATTAAAAAAATAAAAATGCATGTTAAAAATATACACCTGTGTTGGACTTGAAATACATTAGATGCTCACTCACTCCAATGGATTTCTTTCCTAATTAAAATTTTCTTAGAGGAATGTTCATATTAGATTATATTCCTTACTACTAAATTTACAATGTTGAAAACATCAAATAGAAGCATTAGCAGTGTGGAACTAAGTGTTCTACTCTTAACAATGTGAAAGCAGAAAACCTAAGAGTTAACTAGAAATTAATGTTATGAAAATGCAATTTTTTCAATTTTGACAGGGTCTTGCTAAATTACTGAGGCTGGCCTTGAACTTGCCGTCCTCCAGTCTCAGCCTCCCAAGTGGCTGGGATCACAGGTATGCACTACCATGTCCAGCTAAAAATACAATTTTATTTTAAGGAAGATATACAATTATCTAAAGATCATGGGTATGTTTTCAGGTGAGAAACATGTTCTTAATTGCCAATACTAGAAAACATTCAGTAACTAAAAATGCAATTGCTGAAAGGTTAAAAAAAAAAAAAACAGCAAAAAGCCTTGTAGTCTTAGCTTAGGAGCACAGGCTCTGTCTTTCCCTTTAATTATACAGAAAAGCATGTTTTTAAATCCTTTTCTAAAATACCCCTGATTTTTACTGAAAGTATTTTATAATTCATTTTCTTTTGAAAGTTCCATGGTGAATTATAAAGGATATCACAGAGATCCTTAGAACCTCCTTAATTTCATCCAGAAAAAGAACATCATAGAAAAGCCAGCTGATCATTCCAAGTTTTGATTTTAAAAAAAGATAAAGTAAGACACACACAAAATATACCAGGTAAGATTCATCCCAGACATAGGAAGGAGTATCTGGGGTGGGGGATGCTTACAGAAGCCTCTTGGGTGACTCTTTTCTCTCAGGAACAGCCTCAGGCTCTGCTTTGGTCAAGAGTATGATGTGGTTTTTAAAGTGACAGATGGCTTTCAAGCCTATGAAAAGCTGTATTCTTAAAGCACAGACATCCAAACTGACAGGTGGGCAAGCCTAGGGAAGGAAAAAAAATCACAAATGTAACCAGGAACAAAGTGCATGAACATTGACCTTCAAACATCAGTCTGCTTGTCTGATAAAATATGTTACACTCCCCACAATCTCCCAAAAATCTGAATTCCTATTCCTAAGAGAGTGAGGAGTTTATGTAATCAACCATCTATTTAATAGAGCTACTCAATCAACGAATCAACGAACTCAGTTCTGGCTGCTGACTAAATGCAGACCAAACTGCAGGAGCCCCTGAGGAGAGCAGCCCTGGCTGACAACCTGCCCACTACCGGTGGTGGCTCCGGGTGTACGAAACGGGTAAGGTCAGACACTATAGAAGGGTCTTCTGCAGCATGAAAAGTGTATAAAATGGTTGTATTTTGTTTTGTTTTGTTTTCTGCGGGTGGATGTGTGCAAGAAATGCTTGTGCAAGTTCAAGGCCACTCTGAGCAACTGAGCAAGACCCTGTCTCAAAAGGAAAAGAACTGGGGATGCAACTCAGTGGTAAAGTCCTGGCCCTGGGTTCCATCCCCCATTCAAAAAAAAACAAAAAATGCTTTTATGTCTGGATGAGCCTGACTGCTCGCCCCTGGAACAGGCAGGGACTGAGTCAAGGAGAATGGATAACAAAGATAATGGAAGAGATTTCTGGAGAAGAGATTCTGCAGAGATCCCTGCCCCTTCTCCTTCAATAACGCTATTTAGCCTCTGAGGCCATCTTTGTCATCCCTTTGTGCAAAGCGGTGGGAAAACATCTAGATTTATTTTTTCATTCATAAAAATAGTTAAGTGGGCCTTGGCTAGTTAGGAAAGCCAGAACCGCAGAGGAAAGGGAGGTAACCACACCCAGCCAAGCACAGTGGCCACCACTCTGGACACTTTGAACTCAAGTTCAAAGCCAGCCTGAGCAACACAGGGAGACCCTGTCTCAAAATAAAATACAAAAAGGGCTGGGAATGCTTTCGTGAGTGAGGCCTTGGGCTCACTTCCCAGTAACACACACATACACAACTACACAACCACACAGCACTTCAGACCAGAAACTGAAGCTGTGAATTCTTTTTCAGCTTCCGAAGCCTGAATCAGCCAGTGGGCTGGGCTGTGTGCTCATTCAGGTGGCGTCGAGGATTTGAGAGTTGGTGGAGTAGCAGGAAAGGGGTGCCATGCGTTGGGATCACCACTGACCTCCCCTCTCCCACCTCACTGGCCTCCAGGCAGCACCCCACCAGCTGCCACCCTTCCCTTTCTCTCTTCCTTTTCCTTCCCTCTGGTTTCATACCCTAGGAAGACATGGCATTGTGACTGTTTTCTAAAGTAGTTTGATCAGACTTCAATTTATCAAGTAGCCCAAGTTGTACCACCACCCCATGTGAGTCCAGGTCTTTCTGAGGGTTGAAAAGACAGGTGGAGAGAAGAGAAGGATGAAAAACAGAGAACAGAAGATTTTTCATCTATGTCTTCTTTCCATTTTTACTGGGGAAATACCCCTTATCTTATAAATAATGTCCTACTTGAAAAGCCCACGCATGCATCTCATGCTCAAGAAGCATGTAGAATCCGTGGTTCCATTTCTCAGGCAGCTGAAGGCACTCAGAAAACCTGGAAAGCACCAGGAAACGCCAGGTGGGCCATGGCGACAGAAGTCACTGAGAACCCAGAGCCCACCCTCCACAAAACACAATCACTTATCACAAGCTGGGCCACAGCAACTGCAGCCCGAGCACCTCAGTCACCCTGGGCATCCGCTGGTTAACACAGCCTGGCTGTGAGCTTCAGGTGCCAGGCAGACATGAGCTACCTTCTGAAAAATGGGTCATCACAATTTGGGGGTTTCTTGCAGCACAGCATGTGTTTTCATAACAAATATCTATTTAAATAGCTTATACTTCAGAGGTAAAATAACATAAATGAAAATTATGCAAATAATCAGTGAGTGTATTTTTGAGAAAAGAAATTCAGGGTCAGAAGATCAGGCTGAAATTGCCTACACTTATTTTGTGGGTAAGTGCTTTTCTAAGACTAAGCATACAACTTCTTACCAAAAATGAGATTATTGATCTAATATATCCATTAACTTCTAGACTAAGTATAGAAGATTCCCGAGTGCTTGGAAAATAAATAAAGAATTTTAGGCATATCTGATAATAGTATAAATAAATCATTTTAATGCATCTTCTTCAATGTTGTGCTCTGAGTATATTGCTATCTGGACTGTTCTATTAATAGCTCTGTACAACTGCAACCGATATTTGTTTAGAATAAAAAATTATAGTATACAGAGGCATGATATCCTCTCTCTGAGGTTACATTAAACATGTTCTTCCTCAAACTTTAAAAACTATGTACTATGGGCTGGGGATGTGGCTCAAGCGGTAAGGCGCTCGCCTGGCATGCGCGGGGCACTGGGTTGGATCCTCAGCACCACATAAAAATGAAATAAAGATGTTATGTCCACCGAAAACTGAAAAATAAATATTAAAAAAATTCTCTCTCTCCTCTCTCTTTAAAAAAAAAAAAAAAAAAAAACTATGTACTAAACAACTGTGAAGGAAATGCTCATAAGCAATCTTAAAGACTGTCAGCTGAACCACAAATTGCAAAGTGCTTACTGTGTAACACCCCGAAGTTCTGACCCAATAAATAAGGCAGCCTCAAGGTCCTCACCAGGCTCAGGCCCAGGAGCACATCTGCAAGCACCTCGTGTTCCCCTGTGATCCCAAGTCTTCCCTGTGACCATGAGCCCGTGCTCACCTTCAGGGTGGTGTCCATGTACGGGTCCTCCTCGCGAGCGGCCGCTGCGCTGCACCGCACCGTGAAGCACTGTAGGTTGTTGCTGAGGAAGAGGAGATGGGCACTGAGCAAAGTGGAGGCCGAGGGCCAGCATGCCCACCACCATGGGGAGGGCTGCGCAGGCAGAGAGCAATGGCAGGAATAGGAAAAGACATGAGCACTGGTAATGCTGACAAGGGAGAAGCTTCTGGAGAAGCAGAGTGTCTCGGCACTCCTGGGCCCCACTCAGCCCTACTGAAGCAGAATCTCCAGGGGCCAAACCTAGACATGCATATTTCTATAAAGCTCCCTGTGTGAGTGACGTACACCCTGGGGAACAACCATGGATCCAGGTCAATGTCCTCATTCCAGACAACATGATGTCCCCGGCTCTGCCCAAGGTATAGATGGGTGACTATCAAGGCGAAGATTAGAACCTGTTCCTGACTGTTGTGCTCCCCCACCCATCTCAGGATGAAATTCCACCTGGATGGAGCTGGGCACCCAGCTTAGACTGACACTCAAATCAATAGTAAAACCGAAAATGAGACTGAAGCCATCTCAGATGTGCTTTAAAGCCTAGAGCAAGGTTCATTCTGGCACAGGCCTGAGCCAATTAGATCCCAGGCTCCAATAGAGCCAGATGTCATCAACACCAATACTGACATTAAAGCAGCTAACCATTTACTGAGAAATTGCTACCAAATACATCTTGTAGAGGGAACACAAGACTTTTAAAAACATACTATAAAGCAGAAGTCACCATGAACACCTTGGCATAATCAAGTGAAGGACCAGAGCACACCTAACAGGACCTCTAGAGCAGAAGGGCTTCTTCACCAGAGAAGGTACCCCGCCCTGTCACAGTTGGGAGACTTTGCACAACAGCAGTAACAGCTTCAGCCAGGACGCTCTCCAGCTGCTGGCACTTCCACCTCTACTTCAGCCCACTGCCACTGTCCATTTCCACAGTGGAAATGGCCTCTGGAGTCATCCCAGTGACCGGGACAGCAGCACCAGCACTTACAAATCTGGAGCAGTTAGCAACCTCGAGAAGCAGATAGAGAATGGGGAGCAAAGCAAGCTCCCGCAGTCAGAATGGCAGTGACCACAGGTACGACCACAAACAGCAATGGCCTTGGGGTCTGGAGGTGAAGACGCAGGGGCCTGTGACTCACTTCTGCCTACCATAACCCGGCTTGGTGATCCAGCTTGTTGGCTGTTGCTGAATACCAACAACTGGAGCAGAAGTTTAATAGAAGAATAAAATTAACTGAAATGGGCAGTGAAAGCTGGAAAGATGTCCAAGGTAAGCTGCCAAGTAGAACTGTAAGCTGCTGACCAGTGGTGGAGTGTGATCCACTTCTACCAAGTAACTCACAGCAGCGCAAAAGAAAAGCCGGACCAGTGCATACTGTCTGTTGGCAGCGCCGACTCTGGTGCGTGAGCCTGAGAAGGGCTTTCCAACACACACATTTCTGTAAGATTGGTGTTTTACATGATTTTATATTGTCCCTTGATCCTTAAAAAAAAAAAAAAAAAAACGAAAGGAAACTGTTTTTAGAGATACACGTAAGCACACCTATCTTCCAGAAACTTTTCAAGACAAAAACTTATGGCACAAGGTATTTCTAAAATATGTATCTACTAGATAAAATTTAAAAATATAAAATTGAGTTCTTTTTTTTTAAATGACTTAAAAAAATAGGAGTTCACGAGATCCTTAGTAAGAATCTGACTTTACTCAAAACAACTACTATTCCAATGTCTAACGGCTCCACAGTCAAATTAATGCTATCAGAGTATCTTTTGGTGCTGATACTAAGAAAAGCCCCAATGATTTCCAACCTGGAGGTAGTCAAAACCCAGAAATTCAAAGTTCCTTCAAACCCTCTTAATACTGTTTCTGGACTCAGCATTCCAAATTACTTCCCGACTTAGACGTAGAAGAGAGGCATGAATTTGGGGATCCACTCACTGTCACTGCAACGATGGGCGGTCTTCGCACTTGAGGGCAGAATGTAACATTTCTATTCCTTCCTTCTCTCTCTCCCCACTCCTTGGCTTCTGAGATGCTGCAGTTTCCTAGGTTCCTCTGCAGCCTTCAAGCTCCTCCTCCTCTGGCTCTTGGAACCTTCACCAGAGTTTGGTTCTGAGATGACTTCTCTCTGTCTACACACCCTTGGGATCATACACCCTGCTTTGAGAGGCATCTCGTTTTTGATGGTAATAAACTTCTCCGCTGTCCTCTTTACCCTTACCTATAGTTCTCTATGTGTCCAAAAGCCTAGTTAGCATTTCTTCTTAATACTCCAATAGCATCTCAAACCCAAATGTCTAAACCAGGCAACTCTTTTGTCCCCACATCTCAGCTGCCTTTCTTTCATAAAATCAGGCTTGAAGCCCTGATGGGGGTTTTCATGCCTCCCCTATCCCCATCATTCCAAGACCCCAAGCAACTCTCCTGTGTATGTGTATCCTCTCCCATCCACTCCTCCTCCTCTCACTGCTGCTGCCTCGCTCAGCCCCAGCCTCTTAGCATCCTTTCCTGAGAATCCTGACAGCTTATTTATCAACGTCAATCCAACCTCCATAAAGGCCACCATTAATTTTCCTAATGCTATACTTTGGTCATATCACTTTATCCATTTAAAATGTTGAAGAATTCCTCAGTTTAATTTGAAAGCCTCAAGTGCACACTCATGCATTACTCCCACCACCTATGTCCTCTTCAGCTTCTTCCTAGTTAAGAACATCACTGCACCCTGACAGTTGGGGTGACTAGCTCCCTCCACGATGTTCACTTTAGAAACATACTCCCAAGGACGGTGTTTCTCCTAGTACTAGAATTCAGGAGGAGAGGCAGGCAGCCCCCCAGGAGAGGATCAGAGTCCCCACGTGGCTTCTATGCAGTTTGGATTCACTGTAGCACCTGCTGGAGATTCTGGTTTACTGCCCAGTAAAAAAAAATCACCATCCTATGCAATTAAGTACCAATGTTTCCAAAAAACTAACCATAGCCTTTGTTTATAGTCTTCCCTCTACCTATAATAACCCATCTTTTCTAATTTCCACTCATCAAATTCTAACTAACTTGAGGTCTAGCTTCAAACACAACCATCTATCTGAACCAGCCCCATGGGACCTAGTCAAAAGTACTTCCCCTAGTACTCCCAGTACAAACTACAGTTTCACAAAGCTTTAAGATATTTTCCAAAAACCCCCTAGTGTATGTGCCCCTTTTATGTGTCTCTGCTCCCCTCTTACACTGTTTTAGTAGATGGTGTACCTTATTCATGGTTGCTTGGCCAGAGGGTCCAAAACAGTGCCCTCAATATAATCTGAACTCCAAAAACAGGAAATAGAACCAAAAGCATCACTTGCTATTGAGATAAAAGGAAATGAGATCAAACTCCTGCTCCAGAACCAGTGTACATGCCAGCATACTGGGGCAAGACGACAGAGAAGACAACTACTACTGACCAGTGCCTGACTTTGGCGAACACTCATCTGACCTCACTGTGAACACTTCCCATCTATACCAATCAGGGGGTGGAATCAGATCATCTTTCTGTCCCTTCACGGTTCTAAACCACTTGAAATAACTTGATTCACACTGAAAGAATATGACAGAAATGAGAAAAGGAAATCTGCAAGGAACCTGAAGAGATGTCTTGACTGGCCCATTCACTCCCACTGGAATTCCCCATTAAAATCTCCTTTATGAGGAACCTTAGACTGGTTCCCACAGGTTTCACAAAGATACCCATACAGTCTAAGGAAAAAAAACAAAGACAAGCCAGAGTCCAACTCTTTAACACTGGAAAGGCAGCCACAGGCCATCAGGACAGATTTGCAAAGATGGATATAATGTATGAACTTCCAATGCTCTATTCTGCTTCACATGATTCTCACTTAAGATTTAGACAGCACCTCAGCACTTACAGAAAAATAAGTGACTCAAAGGCCAGCAAGTAAACTGCAATAGTACCTTGTGATGACGTGTAAAAACTGTGGCGTGAGCACGGCCTGCTGAGACTTCTCAGGGTATTGGTAGATTGACATTAATTCAACAGACTTGACAACCATGTAGAGATAGCCCACATGAGGTAGGGAGAAAAAGCAAAAGAGACTCAGCAACTCTTTTTCCTGAGACAAATTTTTTCCATCAGAAGTAAGCGAACCTGCATTCAAAAATGAAAGAAATAAATACCATGAAGCCAGTCAGAAAAGGGGAGAGAATCCATACCTCAACTTTTCTATGCAAACTGTTTCAAGGGGTAACCAAAGAGTTGCTAAGGGGAAGTTGTTCTTTATGGAAAAATACCAGTAAGAATTGAAAAAGAAGTGACAGAATTAGAATATCACCATTTTGGGACCCCTAATAAATGAACAGAACTAAATTAATCATCAATGACTGCTAACATCACACAAAAATCCACCCGATGACCACAAGCTTTCCAACAGATATACTTGGGTTACAAAAATATAATAATAATAATAATTATTATTATTATTATTATTATTATTATTATGATCAAGCCTGAGTCTACACCATCATGGTTAATAGAAATATAATGTGGGCTGGGGATGTGGCTCAAGCTGTAATGCGCTCACCTGGCATGCGCGGGGCACTGGGTTCGATCCTCAGCACCAGATAAAAATAAAATGTTGTGTCCACTGAAAACTGAAAAATAAATATTAAAAAATTCTTTCTCTCTCTAAAAAACAAAATATAATGTGAGCCACATCTGTAATTTAAAGTTTTCTAGCAATCATAGTTTAAAAAAAGTAAAAAGAGCCAGGTGTGTTGGCACATGCCTATAATCCCAGCAATTTGGGAGAATGACGCAGGAGGATCACAAGATAAAGACTAGCCTCAGAAACCTGGTGAGACCCTTAGTAACTTAGCAAGATCCTGTCTCAAAATAAAAAAATAAAAGGGGCTGGGGATGTGGCTCAGTGGTAAAGCACTCTTGGGTTCAATTCCCCCCCACATACACAAAAAAAGTAAAAATGTAAAAACAGGTGAATTTTTAGTAATATTGTGTTAATCCAACTCATTAAAAATATTATCATTTGAACAAGCAATAAACAAAAACATTAAGGAGATATTTTATATATTTTTGTACAAATTCTTCAAAATCTAGGGTGTATTTTACTCCTACAGTCTATCTCAACTTACACTAGTCATATTTCAAGTGTTCAATAGCAATGTGGCTGAGGCATACAGGATGGTGCAGATTTAACTACCAACTCACATGGAAATACTGTGGACACAGCAGCATGTTAAATAACACTGAGGAGTCAACTGGCAAAATTCAGGTTGTGGGAAATTTTACAGGAACAGTTCAATTCCTTGCTAAATGAATTACAAAGAAAAGAGGATAAAAAGGAAGAACCTAAGTATTAAGAGACTTAAAAGACCGCCATCAATTGCAGAGTATGGACCTTACTTATTTATGTGCCTGATTCAAACAAAAGAATTACAGAAAAAAATTTTAGGCAATCAAAAAACTCTGAACATTGACTAGATACCTGATGAATTTTTAAATGTGAAATGGTACTTGTGAGTTTAAGTAAAAGAATCCTTTCCTTTTAGAGACATGCTGAAATTTTAAAGATGAAATGCTATCAACACTAGGGTTTACATCAAATAGCCTGATCTGAGCAGGCGACGGGCACGGGTATCACTATGGAAACTGTCATGGGCACACAGAGGCTCACTGTACTGTCTTCTCACTAACTGCTAGAAATCATTCATAACCAAAGTACACCCCCCCCAAATACTCCTCTTACTGACACCCTTCAAGGACATCTATTAGTGTAAAAAGCCCAATTCTATACTCTCTGCAACTGGCCAAAGTCCAAAGTCAATTGTCCAGTTTTCCCTCCCTCTTCTTCCCTACACATGTTGGGCTCTAGCCAAGCAAACTGCTCATTAATGTCCAAACAAACCTAATTTTATATTCTGCACGTGTTCATTTCCTTAGGTAACATCTTATCAGAACCTCACATCTTCTAAAAATTCTCCCCTCCTCTAGGGCCCAGCTCACACATACCACCCATCCACCCATCTGTCCATTTGGTGAGTATTCATCAGATACCTACCCAAAGTGCTGCTGTCCTGAATTCTAGGGACACAATAGAGCACAAGACACAGCAACTGCCTGCAGAGGCTGCGTTCTAGTGATGGGACTTGGGATGGAGGACAAACAAGAAAATTCCACAGTATGAGGACAAGGGTACTTAAACTGAGGGGTCAGGGACATCCCCAGTGGTGAGGTTACATTTAAGCTGTGCATTGAATGGCCTGAATGTGATCCTACAAGATTTGAGGAAAGTACCTTCTAAACCTGGAACAGGAATTAACAGAGCTTACACAAAAATGCACTTGGCCTCTCTGAGGAAGGAAGTTCACTGGGCATATCTCCTCCACAGACAGAGAACAATCAGCGGGCTGAGAGTGAGACGGGACAAGTTCAGAGCTAGGTTACGGTGCCCATGGACACATTGGGAGTTTTTGTTCCAAGTGCTCTGGGAAGCTCACTGAGTTAAAGAACTGACTCTCTAACGTGGCTCCTGGTCCTATCTGGTCTCCAGCCTTGTGCCCACCCTCTTCCTTGCTGCACGCTCCCTGGTCTTGCTTCTCTCAGTTCCTCAAACATGAGATTCTCCCCCCACCACAGAGCCTCTGCTACTTCCTCGCCTGCAGCTCTCCCCCTGCCCTGCACCACCCTGCACTTCCCAGGCACCCAGTTCACCCTCTGCCTCGGGAAAGCTTTCTGGATCCTGGTTACAGGCTCTCACAGTGGGATTCCTCCCCAAGAGCACTCATCTCAGTGTGATCTTGTGACTGTTCAGTTAGTGTCTGCCCCACTGGGTGGTAACCCACAGGGCTAGCACACTGCCTACTCGGGCTTCGCTGGCTCCCCAGTACCTGGCACAAGGCTCGACACAGTTGATATTCATTAAATGTTTACTAAACGACAAAGATAAGTGGAGTTACAAAGACACTGAACTAGAATAATTCTCATACCTTTTTCTAAACAACATCTAAAGAAGCTAATCAGGCCCTGACCAAGGACACAGCCGACTGGTGGTTCTCAATCTTGGAAACCATTAGACTCCTGGCAAGCATTTAAGAAATACTGATGCCTGGGCCCCGACACTGACTGATGAAATCAGAATCTCCAGCTCAAAGGGCCTCAGCATCTGCAATTTTTAAAATATCCAGGTTGAAAACCACTGCTTTGAAGGGATTTCCATCCAGTCCATATTTCCCCACCTTGTTCACAAGGTCATCAGAAGGAACTGTGAAACCCGCGTCTGGAACCCAGATACACCTCAGCTCTAACAAGCTCCAGATTTGCTGTTCTGGTCCCAGAGACTTTCCAAAAGGGTAACATCCCGCCCTCTCCATGACATCACTGCCAGCAAACTCTGTAGCACTCATAGGATTTGTCCAGGGCCATAGGGACCCAGTGGAAGACCCCAATCCGGAACCTGCGCTGGTCCCCCTCCTGCCCCAGCCCTGTCCCCTCTGCAGCGCACTGCAGCCACTTGTACCTGTGTGGTAAATGGGGAGCAGGTGAAGGGAGTGCAACTTGATTTCATCAGACGGGCTGTAGAACGAGATATCAGGAGTAAAACGTCTGCGGGTTGAAAAAGAGGGAAAAAACTAAGTTCCCTGTACTTGAAGGAGGCCCATGCTCACTAAACACTGGTGATCAACAAGCTTGGATACCTGTAGAGCAGGTGCTGAACGTGGGAGTATTTTGTGCTTTCATCAGCCCATCCCGTGGACTCCAGCGTGACCAAGAGCCCAGACTGCTCACTCTTCTCACCAAGAAGTTCCATGGGCTTTTGGCAGATCACAAAATCATCTGTCTCAAGCTGTGAAGTTTTATTGCCAGTGCCTTAAAAAAATAAAACAAGAGAATTTAACTTCAAGCACTACTCTACCTGTTTGAAAGAAAATTAGATTTCACAATATCCTCCCACCAATTCAGTAGACATAGCAATTTTATTTCTACACACACATGTCCCACATTTACAGGGCACTTGCACATTTATTTCTCACAACTGATAAAGGGCGACGAGATAGGTATCATCATCCCCTTGTATACATGAGGAAACTGAGCCAGAGATGGTGTTACCCGATGTCATTCCATTAGTAAAGATGAGAATGAGGACTAGAAACCCTCATCTAGCAGCAGGTGTTCCATTACTTATATTGACACACACATGTGGAAATACACACACATGCTGCAGAATAAGACACAGACAGCCATGTCATAGAGACAAATTTGACATAACAGGAATAACTCAATCTGTAAATAACGTGGCTAGAGTTTTTTAGAGACTGTCAAAAGTGAACGTTTTCTCCTTGCCTAAAGCAAGGAAACAAGTTAGATCCATTACTTACCTTCTTCTGTGTGTTTCACTGGAGTGTGGGTCTTATGCGAATGGTGATTAACTCTCTCCCCATTTTTAGGGTCCGACTCCAGTTTTAGGATTAAGACTTCTAAGTCTGACATGACAGCAACATATCCAACACAAAAAGAAATTTCAACAGGACTGATGCAATCTATATGTACAATTAAAGAACGTTCAAAGTCCAATACTGAGAATTCCTCATCAATGATCTGATACTTCAAACTAAATAACACTAACTTATTTGTGCACCCAACAAGGAGGTCTCCTTTCACTGGGCAACAGGAAATGCACAAGGGGGCTTCAGAAAGGGGCATTTCAACAATAGACATCTGGTCTCTGAAGGTCTCTCTGAAGGGTGCCTCCACATTGTGCCCAACCATTCGAATGCACACACGAGAGTTCTCAGTCTTTTTACTTCTCCAGTTCACATAGGCACGCAGAAATGTGGCTTTGTTTTTCTCTTCAATTGCTACCAAGTAGTCTCCTGAAAAGGAAGTGAGATCACACTTGGAATTTGTAATTACACTTACTTCACTATTATGAAATGAACACACAGATAGCGGAACTAAAGACCCTGAGTAACAGAATCCTAGGTGTATTTCTAAGTTGCATTAGGCACTAAGGTGCCAAAATACAACCACTCTCCACTTCAGTGTCCTTAGGTAACCTACCCATTACCCTGTAACACAGAGAAACTCTACCTGCCATTCCCTACATTAGCTCTAAGTGCTCAGCACAGCTCTGACGCTACAGCTCCAACAAGGCTCTGCTGCAAAAAGGATGCGGCAGTTCTAGAGAATTAGGGGGGGCTTGTTAAAATTAGGTGTAAGTTAAGGACCTGCGCTTAACAGAATTTACACATCATCCCTTCCCCTTCCTGCAAGGCACAACTCAGAGGAACAGAAAGATGATGAATGCTAAATAGAATACAAAGCCAAGCTCATCTTCTCTTATCTGCTGACGAATAAGATTTTTTTAACTCATAAAAGAGGCACATATTTGTTGCAAGAAGTCAAAATGGTGAAGTGGTGTAAAGTGAAGGGCGTAACTCTCTCCCACTGGGGGGTCATCCCGAGGCCCCCTTAACATGCAGCCTGCTGCGCCTGTCCAAGTTTCCCTTGTATCAACATGGATCCCAGGGAAGTATTTTGTCTTCTTCTTTAAATATGTTTAACATTCCGCAAGTTTCAAAAATAATCAATAAATCTTCCCCTCCAAGTCCACACATGGATATCTAGCATCATTTCCATTAACTGCAAAACATGCTATATCTACATAAACCATCATCTAGTCAACAATTCCCCTACTGCTATACATGCTAGTATTTCCAGTACTTCTTTGCCACTCAATAATAAACAGGTCTATGCCTATACATTTGCTGGAGGATTTGTTTGGTTTCCCGAAGTGAGAAAGCTGAGCCAAAGGGCAGGCATTTTAGACTTTAGAAGGTACTGCCAGGACACTACCCTAATTAGGTGACAGAAATTCAAGTCTCCAGCAGCCCCACAAGAACACGCCTGCTTCCCACAGCTTCACTAGCTCTGACACTCTGACTGGGGAAGCCTGGACTCAGGTGGTGGGTGGGATTTAGTTTCCTGACCACTTACAGAGCTGGCTGTTTCCCTGTGTCAGCTATGCTTGGTTTCTCCTCTGCAAGTCCATCTCTTTACATAAGCTGCTCATTTTTCTAGTCAGGTATATATCATTTCCTTCTCGGCTTCTAAGCTTTGGGTCTTGTTTACATAGTCCCAAGTAATGGTCCCTGATTTGCTTCCACCTTCTGGCTCTTGTAAATAATCCTGCTATGAATATTTGTGTACAAATATCCATTCAAGTCCCTGCTTTAGATTCTCCTGGGTGTGTGTGTAGGAGTGGAACTGGGGGTCACTAATTCTTGGTTAAGAGCCTCCCTGCTGCTCTCCACTGTGGCTGCACTGTTCTACTTTCCTACAGCAAAGCACAAGGGTTCCAGTTTCTCCCCATTTTCTTAAAATGAGAGCCATCTTAATAAGTGTGAGGTGGTACCCCATCACGGTTTTAATTCGCATTTCCCTAATTACCTATGTGCTTTTGGCCATTAATATGTCTTCCTTGGAGAAATACCTATTCAAATTCTTTGTCCACTTTTTTTTTTCTTTTCTTATTGATTGATTGATTGATTGATTGATTGCAGTACTGGGGATCAAAACCAGGATTGATTGATTGATTGCAGTACTGGGGATCAAAACCAGGGCCTCATGCATGCTAGGCAAGCATTCTACCACAGCCCCATCTTTGTTCATTTTTTTAAATCAAGTTGTTTTGTTGCTGTTGGACTGTAATTATTTAATATATTCAGGATCTTAATCCTTTATCAAAATGTGTGATTTGCAAATACTTTCAATTCCACAGGTTGCCTGTTTAGTCTATTGCTGGGTCTCTAGTGCACAAAAGTCTTTAACTTTTATCATGCCCAATTTATCTAGTTTTCATTTGTTACCTATACTTTGGGTATGATATTCAAGTTAGTAAATAAATTTTAAAACTAAGCATATTTGTTTATTTAAAATAAAAGCTTTTTATTCATGTACCTATAAATAAATGTCTGTTTTGTTGACAGAGTCACAAGTCAACTAGAGTTCACAGTCTGCAGTGCCCATGCTGTGCTGTATATTTTTGGTTTAAGGACTTGTTCTGAAAATGAGGAACTAGCTCTTGCCAAGCATACCTCCCTAATAAGCCTCATGATCAGAGCTGAGAAGTTAATCTTCACAATCACCCCTTAAGGTATCCATCTTCTTCTCTACTTTATAGATAGAGCAGGTTCAGAAGCTCAGAAGCTCAGACTAGCCAAATAATATGCCTAAGGCAACACAGCCCACAGGTAAAGGAGCTGGAATTTAAACATGGGTTCAGTAGCTCAAAGGCCTTGGGCTCATTTCTCAATCATCCTGCCTCAAACTGTTGGAAGAGAGATCTGTCTATAGGACTCTGTAGAGATGATAACATTTATAAGAAAAGGCAACTAAATATTTTTAAGCATAATGTGAACAGTGCTTCATGTTACTCTATGATAGCTTCTGTCCTCATTAAGTAAATTTAAAAAATCATTGTCTTTTTTACTTTAAAGCAAGAATTACTAATTTTTAAAAATAAGTAAACTTATATAAGGTGACTGACTCATAGTGGGGTAGGGAGAGGGAGCATGGAAGGAATAGACAAACTCTAGATAGGACAGAAGGGTGGGAGGGGAAGGGAAGGAGCAGGAGGCTAACAATGATGGTGGAATGTGATGGACATCATTATCCAAAGTACGTGTATGAGGACACAAATTGGTGTGAACATACTTTATATACAAAGATATGAAAGTTTGTGTTCTATATGTGTACAAGAATTGTAATGCATTCCACTGTCATGTACTTAAAAAATAAAAGCAATTAAAAAAATAAATAAACTTTTCCTTCTATGCAGCAAGATGACAAACCTGATTAAAAACAGTAGTACCAGATTATAGAAAAGGCATACTCCTATGATAAAAATGACATCAGAAGCATCAGAATGTTTTAATACTTCAGAAAAGTTGTGGGGCAGGTGAATGGGCTAGGGATTGTACTAAAGGACAGGCGATAACAACCATGTGGCTTTGTCCTCTGCTTGGGTAAGAGACCTGCTAAGCATTTAAAGTAAATGTAAATACATTAATTATTTCCATTTTTGACAAGGGGAAATTTGCTACAGAGGAGGACACTGAGAACGAAGAACAGAAATCTCGAGGACCCGCTTACTGCTAATGGGGGGAAAGGGCCAAAAGAGAAACACTGCGGAGTGGAAGACGGTTTTCTGGCTATCAGCACATCCAGGAGCCAGCCCCAGTTTAGTTAAGCATGAATTAATTAAAGCTATACCCAGAAGTGAAGTTTAAGCTGCAGATTGAAAGTTACCCTTGAGCTACATGACCCAAGATGCAATGCCATCCACATGACTCCTCAACTCTGAGGCAGCCAACGAGATTACAAAAAAACCTTGTGTTCTTGAAGGCCTCAAAAACAAAATTATCAGGCTACTTGTGGACTCCTGTAGCCAGTGTGGCTCGAGTCAGTGTTTCTCAATCCTGGCTAACCATCTGACTCACTGCAATGTGGCCTCGCTCCAGAGAAACCAACACTGTATTTCTGAAGGTGTGGTCCAGGCACGGGGGGTTATTTTTTTTTTAAGCTTCTCAGGTGATTTTGATGCACAGAGAATGGTCATCCAAGGATTCCAGGAATCAACACTAGTTGAAACCAGAGGTTTCTTTGAATTTCAGGATAAATGTCCATTTGAAGAATGGGGGCAAATTCTGTAAATATACGGTGTGTCTGTCTCTCTTGTGTCTCTCTCTCTCTCATGTCTGTCTCTCTTTCTCTTGCCCGCGCTCTCTCTCTCTCTCTCACACACACACACACACACACACACACACACACACGTAAGTCGAAACTGTACAGTTTGCCACCCAATAGAACTCTTGAAGGTAAAACCAAGAAACCTATTCCTAAAAGAGGGTACAGTGGGAAAAACGCCCAATACTGTAAAGAGTATAACCATAGAGATGAGTTAGAAATAACAAAATCAGTATCTTCCTGCTGAAAGGAAACTTCCAGACCAAATGACTGCTTTCTCAAACAGGTCTGTGGAGTGCTGTGAAAGACCCAGTTGATGTTGTCATTAGACAAAATGAAAAAATAATGACAGCATAGTAAGCTGCTTATAAAGTTAAAGTTTCTGTTCTCTTCTTTTATAAATTATGCTTTCAGTAAATATTAAGGCTTTGGTTTTCTTAAATAGGCATCTTTACTTGACAAAAAGAACAGCCAGATGCTAAGGAAGTCCCATGGTTTGTAGCTGACTCTCAAAAATCCCAATGTCTGCAAATTACTGACCTAATAATTCAATTTACTTCTTTTAAAAAAAGAAACTAAGACCCAAAGTTTCCAATAAACTCAAACTGAATCAGCCACAGAGTAGGGATTAGAGGGAGATCGCCAATCCTCCAGGTTTATGCTCTCTGAGCTTTTCCACAAAGAATACTGCAGTTTACATCCTTCCAAAAAGTAGGAATCAACGTTTACTAGACAGTTAAAAAAAAAAAAAAAACCTAGGATGAATGCTTATGTAATCCAAAAAAGCATCTGTTTTCAAACATTGGAATTTTCTAAAATAGGGACACACCCACCCAGTGCCCCCTTGGCATTGCTTCACATTTCTGGTGGAAAAAAAGGAGTGGATGCTCCTACAGCTGTTTGGGGAGGAGGTGGGGAGCAAGTCTAAGATCAAGTTCTAGATTGATAGATTGAGAGCTTGATTGGATAAGATTAGCCAGACAGACAGACAGATCAGTACATAGCGTGAGCTTTCAAAACCGTCAGAAGCCGACAGAGGTACAGGCGTAAAAAGCCTGGCTATGATTTGGGATCATTTTTGAAGCTAGGAGTACCGTGAGATTTAGGATACTATTCTCCCCACTCCTACTGCTGTATGTGTTTGAAATTTTCTACAAGAATAATTTCTAAGTGTCCCGCAGGAGTGGAACCCAGTCACGGGCTCTTCTGGCGCTGGTTCAGGATGCGCGGGGCGCAGGCGCGCCGCACCGTTGCCACGACAACTGCACAGCTCCGCGCTCCCCCCGCCCCCCGCGCGCACCCTGCACAGGGGCCAGACCCGCGGAGACCACCGGCACGTGCCATGAGGTGCCTAGTCCCTCCCGCGCCCCCCGAGCAGCCGCCCGGCGCGCGCCCACCGCGGGGGAGGCCCCGCCCGCCACCACTCACCCGCCTCGCTGTAGACCATGCGCAGCACCCTGCCCAGCGTGGAGAAGGCGCACCTCGGCTGGCACAGCTCCTGGCCGACCACCGTGAACGCCTCCACCTTGCAGCCCGCAGCCACGAACAGCGCGTCGCGCCCCCCGCCGCAGAACTGCTCGGGCTCCAGCTTGCAGGGCACCACCTGCTGCGACCCGAACGGGTGCAGGTTGTACAGGTGCACCATCCCGGCGCCGGCTGCAGGCCCGCCCGGCCTGCCCGTGCCGGCGCCCGGGCGCGACCACTTCCGCGAGCCCCGGCCGCGCCAGGTCACGTGGGCGCCGCCCCATCCCGGGCTCCGCTTCTTAAAGAGACCGCAACCTCGCCGCGCCGTGGAGGGAACGCAAGGGCAGTCCTCCCGGCTCCCTCCGGCCCTTGGGCGGGGACCCCCGCCACCCAGAGCTAGCCGCAGCCCGGGTCTACTCAGTACTTGGCTAGTGCGGGGATCGCTGTGTCCTTCCCTTCGCCTTTTCACATTACTGCTTCGTGCCAGGCGGATATTTTTGTCGTTGAGTACGTTTCACACTTGGTCTGCTATCTTGCACCATTTCGTACTGTTTCAGGAGCTTTATTCATGTTTCCGCAGCAGCATTCGCGCTTCAGAAGAAAGGGCTGTAGATGGGCGTGGTGGCGCAGTCCCGTAATCCCAGATACTCTGGAGACTGAGGCAGGAGATTGGAAGTTCAAGGTCAGCCTCAACAATTTAGCGAGACCCTGTTTCAAAACCAAACAAACAAAAGGCCAAGGATACTGCACAGTGGTAACTCTTGCCAGCCCTGGGATGGATCCCCATTGCCTTGAAAAAAAAAAAATGGTTCTGCAAAAACAAATAGGGTGCAAGGACTCAATTTGGGGCTGCATACACCCAAGTTGCTCTAGAATACTGGAGATTTTTGAGTGGCTTTATGGGAAACAGCAGAGCCTTGAAGGTGCTCTGCAAAAAGGTGTTTGCTGAATGAAAAAAAAACCCATGGACGTCATTTTGTAGGCATTTGACAGAAGATTAGTTTGAGCCCCCAGAAGATGGAAGGACAGGAAATTCCCTGGTTCTCAGTCCAGTGTTGTCCTGTAACCTCTATCGTGTATGTGGCCTATTCCTGACATCTCAACCAGGAGCTCCTTCTTGCAACCCTGCACCCTCCCCTTTTAAAAAACACATTTAGATGAACCAGGTATTACAGTTACTTTCCAGTTTTTCTCAAAAAAAATACTTTGATACAGGGACAGAACTGAAAAGAGCAAGATTTCCTGCAAGTTCTGTCACCCTCAGGAACACTTCATTCCAAGATTTGTAAGTCAGGATTAAAATTCCACTTGCCTCCGTTTTCTGTGTTCTCCAGTTGCGTCAAGTATCATTAAGTAATAGCCTTCCTTTTCCCACTCAATAGGGAACTCTGGAAAACAACAGGTTCATCAGATTCACTGAGGCAAAGACATGGACAAGAAGGAGGCGGCTCAGGGCAGGAGCTAGGGTTGCACAAATTTCAGAAGGTTCCTCTAAGGGGAAAAAAAAAAAAACTAGACTAACATATTCCACACCTAACCTGTTCTAGATACAATAATTATAAACACCCCTTTTCCCTCCCAAACTATCTGCCATGTTGTCCTTTTTTGATTAATTTCCTCCTTCAAGACTGGTCTGATATTAATTTAATGCAATTACACATGCAGAAAATGTCTCTGTTGTAGAAAGAAATGAGATTTGCCCAAAGCCAGGAATCAATGCTTTTGTGCAGATATCCTCTCCCCAACTTGCTACAGTCCCTGCACCTGGCTCATCTAACACTCTTTAGCAGGAAACATGACTCGCTAGGGAGAGGTGGGGTATGTGTCTAGCTTCCTGTCAGGAGCTGTGAGCAGGAGCTGCCTATTGGTGTTTCTGCTGCAAAAGCAGGGGCACCTGCAGAAGCATGCCATCTGCCCTGGTGGGGTACCTCCAGTGTTCATGTGTGAGGGTTTGCCATAGCAGATGCCTCCAGACTGGGCAGCTTCAACAGCATTTCATTTTCACAGTTCTGGAGGCTGGAAATCCAAGATCAAGATATAAGAAGGTCTGGTTTCTTCTGAGATCTCTCTCTTTGGTTTGCTGATGGCCACCTTCTTGCTGTATCTTCATGTGATCTTTCTTCTGCATGCCCACATTTCCTCTGTAAGGCCACCTATGTGACCCCATGTAACCTTGATTACCTCTCAAGCCCCATCTCCGACTTGAGTCACATTCCAAGGTACTTGGAGTTAGGGCTTTCACTTATGAATTTCAGGGGGGGTGGGCCACAATTTAGCCCAGGTGCATTAGTTGGATAAAACTGTCTTGAGGACTTCTTTAAACTGTATTGTTGAGGAGGTTCAGGGGAATCATACAGGTATAAATCTCCCTCCAGATTCTCCTTGATACCACCACAATTGGAGATGGATACAAAAATGATTCTCCAAAAACATGGACAGAAGCTCTACCCAGCCAGCCTAGGAAAGAGGGGTTCTGAATCCCTGGAGCACCAATTCCCAATCCCATCTGCCAGGCACCCTAGGATATCTACATAGATCTCAGAAACTGTATGTTGAGGATTCACCCAGAGGATGGATTTACTTCTCATGTTTCTATTACCATGTGTCCTCAAAGCATTTTCTGAAGAAGAAACAAAAAGCAAAAGATTCTCAAATAGCTCCACTGTCTTTGAAAACAAACCTAAAAAAAAAATTTTTTTTAATGATATGAGCATCTTCCTGAAGAACAGAATGTGGCTTTCTCAGAGCAACAGAAGTAGTTTCCATGCCCTGAGCACCACCATCAGGACTGCAGGGCACCTGAGAAAATCAAACCCCTGTGCTGAGATGCCCCGCCGCCCCTGCCTCAGGGATAGGAAGTTGGTGGAGTAAGGCAAGACCCAGGCCAGGAACAGCTGCTTTTCTCACCTCCTTGTCTCCTCCCTCTTGCCCATTTTCTTTCGATATGGCACAGGCAGGCACTCTCCTTGTCTTTGACTTAAGATCCCCCACGTTGCCAAAAATAATGCTCTCTTCTTGACTTCTGAGCAGCATTTATCACTTTCTCTTCTTAAAAACCTTGTCTGTTGAGAGAAGCCTGGCATTTTTGCCAGAGGGAATGGTTGAAAGGTGACCCTGCTCTGGGATTAGGGCGGCTCCTGCTGGGAATAGGGCGGATCCTTCTGCCTCAGGCGCCCAATACTTTGGAGTTCCCGTTGAGTTCTCTCGGGGTTCTGAGAGAATTGGCATGTGGAGCCTGGTGGAGGTAGTGTGCTCCCGGGAAGTGTGTGTAGAGTGCCCGTGAGAGTTCGGGAATAAAGAGTTGCTGTTTGAACCTATAAGGCTTTTTGGCGGCTTGGTTATTTGTGCCTAGCCAGACTGCGGCACTTGTCTTCTCGCAATGTCTGATATCCCACTCCCATGTTTTCCTCCTTACTGTCACTACTCTTCCTTTTTGGACTCTAAAATTGTATATCCTGGCACATGCTCTATCTATATTAACTTTTTTGGATGAAATCAACAAATCTTATAATTTTATTTTACTTGCTTTTCAGTACTAGAGATTGAACTCAGGGGTACTACGTCTCCAACTCTTTATTTTTCATTTTGAGACAGGGTCTTGCTAAATGGTTGAGACTGGCCTTGAACTTGTGATCCTTCTGCCTCAGCCTCCCAAGATGCTGGGACTAGAGGTATGCCCTGCTGTGCCTGGCTAAATAGTATGATTTTTAAAACTTTCTAAATCTAAGGACCCCCCCCCCCCCCAAAAAAAATCCCCATCTCCAGGCTTTTGGTTTCTCCCTTGAGTTCTCACCTTGAAAATCCAACGCAGATTTAGCATTTCCATGGCCTGCTTACCATTTTCAGACTTTAGGATATCCAAAGTCAACTTGTGATTCATTCACCTCCAACCTCCTCTTATCTCTCTAGCTAGGTAACCAGCATCACCATTTACCTGTTGCTTAGGCAGGACCCCAGGACCCATGTCTTTCTCTGCCTCCCCTTTCTGCCCGCCACCCCGTCTCTCCACATCTAATCCATTAGCAAGTCCTGTCAGTGTTGCCTTAGAATATATACAGAATCTGATCCTTTTTTACCACATCACTGTTGCCATCCCAGTCTCAGTCACCTTCATTTCTCACACAGGCGAATCTTTCTGACTGGTTCACCTGCTGTGTCCTCTCCCCACTAGAGTCTATTTTCTATAGAGCACCTTTTTTTTTTTGAGTCAGCACTTTTTCTTCCCTCCCCTTCCATTTCCACTAACAGTTCACCTTAAAACCCTTAGGTGAGGCAGGGCAAGGCAAAGCTGCCACAGAATGGGAGGAGAAAGCAATGGACAAGGGAAGTCAGAGCCCAAGCAGGATGAAAGGGGTATCAGTGATGGGGTTTTGCTGCCTCCCATGGGGAATCAGACACCAAGAATGGTGAGGAGGGCTTCGTTATGGAGGGTAAGAGTCTGCTTGCAGTTAGGAGAGTACCTGAGCAGAACAAAGAGGTCATCACCTATGGGAGTGAGAGCCTGCGCCAGGTGAAGAGTGTCCATGGAGGGGCAAGGGTCTGGCTGCCATGGGTCATCATCCAGGGCAGGAAAGGGGAGTGTCCATGTGATAGAGATAGCCTGGTATGGAGGACTAATATGTTCAATAAATATATTAAGAAGAGTAAGGGCTGGGGAAATAGCTCAAATAGTTGATAGAGTGCTTGCCTCACATGCACAAGGCCCAGGGTTCAATACCCAGCACAAAAAAAAAAAAAAAAGAAGAAGAAGAGGAGTAACCCGGTGCTCGGGTGAGGTGGTGCACAACTGCAATCCTATCTACTGGGTAAACTGAGACAGTCTGAGAAACATAGCAAGATTCTGTCTCAAAATAAAAAAATTAAAAAGGCCTGGATGTAACTCAGTGATAGAGCACCCCTAGGTTCATTGCCAAGTATTTAAAAAAAAAATGTGAGACAAGTTTCTTAGTGCTAGCAAAGGAAAGTATAATCACAAAAAGGAGAAAACCAGACTTAGGAATGAGAAAAGTTGAAATCATGAGTCATGTGTTAGGATGGGATAACAACACAATATCATTTCTGTAATAGTCATGCCAAAATTGCAAGAAAGATGAGAAAAACATCAGACAGATGCAAATTGAAGAAGATCCTAAAAAACACTGGTCTGTAATTTTCAACAGTGTCAAGGTCAAAAAAAGTCAAGACAGGAGTAGGGAACTGTTCTAGACAAAAGGAGTC